TCACCAAGCAGGTCGCGCACGCTCAGTTTCCTCCGAGGGCCCTTGCGGGGCCACGCAGACAACCTGGAGCTGGAAACTGGGTATGGGGCGTGGGAGGCGCTCCAGGCCGTTTGGGGCCCATTACCCGCGAGTGGCTCACGCTGGCGGAATCTTGGCCGGCCGCGCACCGCGACCTGGACAGCGCTAGCACCTCGAGACGCTGCGGGCGCGCAGCTGGCCTGAAAGCAGCCAAGGTGCCACTCGAGACCACGTGGGCCAGGGGTTCGCGCATGGGGGCTCTCGGAGAGGACCGCGAGATGGACGTCGTGCGAGGCCTTATCCCGTCGCGCTGCTCACCTGGGTCGCGTGGGCTGAGGGCACAGGGCACGTGGTCTTCTTCGAGGGTGGCTTGCAGATCTTGGGGGCACGGCCCCCGCTCTCTCGCCGCCGCCCACGGGGCCCTGCGACAGTCGTCTGAAGGGGCCTCTTGGACGGGACATCGCTAGGGGCGACCTCCACCTGCGAAAAGCCGGGTGGATTCGCAATGCGTCGGCACTTTTTGGGAAGGCCTTCGGGGCCCCAGCGGCCACGGTCCTCTTAGATCTAAAGAAGTTCTACGAGCGCACTTGCGCTTGCCTGCATCGAGCAGCGTGCCAGCACGGTCTCAATTTGAAGCTGTTTCGAGGGTTGCGCGCGGCCCGCGCAGGAGAGAGGGCGCCGCGTCACGGAGCTGCGGCATCACGGAGGCGCATGGGGACGGAGCAGCGATTGCAGGGTGCTCTGCGGCGACCACGCTCACTAAGCTTTCACTCCCCCCCGCTGGGAGCTGCGCAGTCGGGCCGGCCCCAATTGAGCATCAGGAACGTTATCGATGATACCGCACTGCAGATTATTGGTCCGCAGCCTCTAAGCGCCCCGCTGATTGCGTCGGGGGCGCAGCCTCTTCCCCGGCAGTTTCTCAGAGCTCGCGCCCCCCGCCTTGACCAAGTCGACGCGCGCGACTAGCGACTTGGACTTGAATTTGGCCTTCCAGCGCCCTGGGACCTCCCGGAGGAGAGCCGCGTAGATCATGCCAGGAACCTGGGCACCGACGCGGCGACGCGAACCTCAAGGAGGGCGCCCATTACCAGAGACAGGTGGGCGAAGGCGAAAGGGGGGGCCCTGAAGACACGCAAGCTCAGCGAGGCGGGCCCAGCGGGGCGGGCCCGCGGCGCCGGCCCTTTGGGGATCCAGCATCATGGGGATCCTCCCGCACGCGCTGCACCTGCTCCGACTCGGCGCGGCCAGCAGCCTCGGGAAGGCCCCCGAGGGCCCCACTGTCGGGCTCCTCCTCCGGAGCTATGCTGAAGGGGCCCGCGTGGAACCGATGTTGCCGAGCTTCGGGATGGTCGCGTTCCAATGGGCGTCTGCGGTCTGGGAGTCGTTTCCGAAGCAGAGGGTCCTGGTTAAGCGCTTCGAGGAGCCATGGGCCACGTCGAGGACTCCCAGGCGCCCTGAAGAAGAGCCGCCCCTTCCAGCTGATGTTGCGGTTCTCAGTCTCCGCAGGATAGGCTAGACATAAGGTCAGGTACCTGCGTGGCCACGGATCGGCAAGAAGCATTTGACTTGCGAGTTTTGCCACCAGCTCTTGCGCAGGAGCTGGCAGTCCTTGGAGCTAGGAGAGCATTAGACAGGCAGGCGCCCCTCAGTCGCGAGCCTCAGGCAAAGCGGTGCATGCATAGTTTGGATAGGCTTGGAGGGGGCGTTGCTTCGCACAAACAGTGGTTGGACCATGAGTTTCAGAGAACGTTGAGATCCCTGGTGCCAGGAGGTCACTCGACGCAGGTGCGCCTCCACATTCACGGTCTTGCGAGCTCTCCTGCGCGCTGCGTCTACGGAGATATCGACGGGCCTTGTGGCGCAGGGCGCGCGACTGTCCCAGGCACGAGCCACTTCGGCGAGAGCTAGTATCCAGGTTCCCGGGAAAGACGGCGCGCAGGGTCAATGAGTGGGGCTTCGACGCGGGCGAGCGGTTCGCGCGCGGGCTGCTCCCGTCTCCTGAGCTCGCCGCCCCTGCCCCAGTAGAGCCCGAGGGTCAGTTCCCGTGGCATAATCGTCCCGAGTTGCGGCTGCTCTCGGGCATTGCGTTTCTCGACGGGTCGCCCCTGTGGCCCCAGGCTCCGCGCTTGGCACGCGCGGGCTGGGCGATTCGCCACGTTGACCGATACGGGCATTTAGAGGCCGCAGCGCGCGGGCCTGCCCCTCTGAATCTGCGCGCAACGCAGACGGCTCGCGACGCTGAAGACCTCGCAGTTCCCATGCTCAGGGCGCGCGCGATTGCCCCGTCGGATCTGCGCATCGACTGCGCAGGCATTGCTGGGACCTTGCGCCTCGGCGCTGGCGGAGGGACCCAATGCTGTTGTCCGCGGGGCCGGCTCTGGAGTCCGTCCTGGGGCGCTTTCTCCGAAGGGGACTTTCAAGTTTTTAGTGCCAAGGCCCACTGCTCCAGGGCCCAGGTGGGCGAAAGTGCCACAACCGAGCGGGGGTTCAAAGGGAGCGCCCATGCTGACCGTTTTGCGAAGCTCGGAGCAGCCGAGCACGGCGCAGGGATCGAGCAGCACCAGTTGTGACATGTATTAAAGAACCTCGCCTAAGAAGCCGCCAGATGGGCGGCCACAGTTCATGTTGCACCCGATGGCCAGGACCACGAAGACCTCTTGGAGGCCCACTGGCGCCCCAAGGGCCCCGAGGTGCCAGAAGGCGTCGAGCCGCGCGAGCCACCCGAGCCTGACCCAGATGAGGTTCCAAGGCCAGGGGAGCCAGAGGCTAGTTACCCTGGGGATGGGTACGGGGTGCGTAACGGGCGGGAGGAGCATGCAGCAGCGAGTTGTTGGTGGCGTGGCCACAACCTGTTGCAGGCTGACGTTCTTGACCGCACGTCCCCTGCGTCGTCTGTTGTTTTCTGTTTCCGCTGCGGGGCGATATCGTCGGACGGCAAGCTTGCCCCAGGCCTCTTGAATTGGTGCGGAACCGAGCAGAGGAAGGCTGGAGGCCCCGACCAGTTGCGGCGAAGTAATGAAAGGGAGCGCCCGCCCTACCGCGCCAAGGTGCGGCGCCAAGGCGCGTCACTTGAAGGCGCGACGGCCCCGCGGAGTTCCCCCGCGGGCTCGCGACTGCTTGGAGGCCCAGGCGGAGCCGCGGCCGCCTCCCGAGCCTCACCCTGCGGCCCGAAGAGTCGGGGTCGGAGGTTGCTGGGGGCTGGCGGACAGGGGAGGACGGGCCGAGGGCCGTTCGGGCCGCGCGAAGACGAGCTCGAGCACGCCCGAGACCTCGGCCGCCTCACCCTCGAGCGAGACAATCCCGACAGCGCCGATGAGGATGAGTCGGGTGCCGAGTTCGGTTTGGGTTAGTTTTCTGGGCAAGGCCCAGCGTTTACCTTAAACCCACACCATACCGCACCGTACCGTACCATACCATACCATATCACACCATGACTTCTTATGATTAAACACCCCCACATCCCCACCTAGCCGGCCGATAGCAACCCCGCCGTCCTAAGCCTCCAAGAAACAATGCAACCTCAATTTTTCTTCTCGCCAACATGTCGTCGAGTTGTGAAAAGTGTAGCAGGAATGGGACGGAATGAACATCGCTTGGGAGGCCCCAAGCGGGTGGTCGCGTCCGGCCTCTCCTCAAAAAAATGAAAATCAACGTTTTTCTCGTCAACATGGACTTTCTGGTCGTCGACGCTGCGAAAAGTGTAGCAGGAAAGGGACGCGGCGCACATCGCGCGCGGACGCCTGGCCAACCCTACGCGGGACCCCCCGTCCTACCTGCCAAGAAACACCGCAACGTCGACGTTTTTCTTGCCAGCATGTATTTTTTCCCCGTCGGCGCTGCGAATCGCGTCGCGGGAATGGGACGCGGTGCACATCGTGCGGGGACGCCTGCTCGTCAACATGGACTTTCTTGTCGTCGACGCTGCGGCCCGTCGGGTTGAGGAGCTGGGCGGGCGGCACGTCATAGTGCCTCAGGAGACCCCGAAGAGGTTGAAAAAGGCGCCCAGGAGGTCCTGGGGGGGCAACACAAATATTGTTGTTCATTTGGCGTTTGATGGATTGAGAGGTTAGCACCTACTTGTGTTGACAATGTTCCAACCCAGAAGATAGATCCAAGAGGCCCTCAGGCGCATGCCAGAAAGCTCCCAGGACGCCCCGCGAATTCCAAATAGGCATTCTCCTATTCCTCCTCAGTTTCTCCGTCCCTCCTTCTCCCCCTCCCCTCCTCCTCCTCCTCCTCCTCCTCCTCCTCCTCCTCCTCCTCCTCCTCCTCCTCCTCCTCCTCCTCCTCCTCCTCCTCCTCCTCCTCCTCCCCCTCCTCATCCTCATCCTCATCCTCAATCACTCCTCCTCCTCCTCCTCCTCCTCCTCCTCCTCCTCCTCCTCCTCCTCCTCCTCCTCCTCCTCCTCCTCCTCCTCCTCCTCCTCCTCCTCCTCCTCCTCCTCCTCCTCCTCCTCCTCCTCCTCCTCCTCCCCTCCATGCGCGGCAGGAGCTAAACGATTGGCGGGACAACGTGCGTGGCTGGAATGAGACGCGGCGCACTTCGCGCGCTGGATATGTTGTCGCCGACGATGCAACATGAGAGGCCGGAGCTGGGCGCGGCGTACATCGCGCGCGGCTCTGTTTCTCGTCGACGTTGCTCAATACGCGGCAGGAATAGGACGCAGCTCATGTCGCGCGCTGAACGTCTAGCCGCCCACGATATAAGATGAGCGACAGGCGTCGGACGCAACGCACTTGCTTCTAATGTTGTGGGAGGGTGGGTGGGCGTGGACGGAGCCCTCTGGCTCGTTCGAGCTGGCTAACTTGACCATACCATACCTCCTCCTCCTCCTCCTCCTCCTCCTCCTCCTCCTCCTCCTCCCCCTCCTTGTCCTCCTCCCTCCTCCTGACCCGTCCTCCTCGCGCCTTCCCTTTTCCGCCCCTCTCCCCCGCACCCGACGCGCCCTTCGGCCGCACCCCCGCCCCCTCCGCGCCCACAGGTCGCGGGCGCAATCCTCCCGGAGCCCCCGAAGCGGTCGGTGCGGGCGGGGAGAAGCAGGGGGGGTGGGGCCGGATGTCGGGCGGCGGTCAGTGGAGGAGGAAGAGCAGGCGGAGGAGCATGAGGAGGAGGCCGAGGAAGAGGAGGAGGAGGAGGAGGAGGAGGAGGAGGAGGAGGAGGAGGAGGAGGAGGAGGAGGGAGGCGAGGGAGCATCCTTGACCCTTGACCCGTATGAGGCTCATTGTCCGCCTGTTGCAGTGCACGACACGAAACGCACGGTGCGCAACGCAAGTGCGGAAAATGACGAGCCTGCGGGCGAGAGCCCTTGAGCCGGACGCGAGGCCACACCCTGCGGGAGGAGGGTGTGAAGGCCCAGCGGGCGCGCGCCAGCCCAGCCGGGAGGAAGGGACCATGGAAGGGAGAAGCGGCAGCTGGCCACCAGAAACAACGAGGCTTGAGGCAGCATAGAGATACCATCGGCGACTTGCGCGTCGGATGCCCATGTGAAGGGCACCCCAGAAGCCCAACGCTGCAGGGCAAGAGTGGACGGTCAGCACTGAGCCAGCAGAAGTCGGCACGAGCCCCGAAGAGGAGCTTCGCCACAGTGAAGACCAGCTGATCGCCGGTAGCATTGTCACGCGCCCAGCGTCGATTCGAAGGCGAAGGGGGGAGACCTAAGGGGGAAGCAGACGGGATGGGCCCCTACATAATTGAAAGGCAGGTTTGGACGGCACGGGTTTCCACGACACCGAACGCACGAGTACATGCACCATAGCAAGTAGCGCTAACGAGGCGAGCGCGCCGAAAGCATACGATGGTACTGGCTGACTGAAGGGCTCCTCACACGACGGACTGAAGGCTGCAGCTAACATAGCTGCAGCTAACACAGCTAACAAGCAGAGGCCTGGACAGACCTACAACCCGCAAGAAAGTTACTGCATCCGGTAGCGTAAAACGTAAAAGAGGCGAGTGCGCTGAATGCTCACGATGGCACTGCCTCATTGAGTGGCGCCTCACACGACGGACTGAAGGTTACAACCAACAGAGTGCCGTAGTGACAGAGCGGTAAGCGCGGATGGGACGCCAGAGGACAGCCGGTAAGCACGGAGTTGGACAGACTTACAGCATGCAAGAAAATAATTGTACCAACAACGCCATGACAGAGAGTCAACGAGGCGAGAATAAGCATGCAGAACGTACCAGTGAAATCAGCGGCCTTTGCCGCCATGCTCTGGAAAGATGTCGGGAATGCCCTGCCCTCTGCGAATTAATCCAGAAATCAGAGCATACTTCTCCGGGGGGAGATTCCTTGATGCAACAGGCACGGCAACTAAACTTTTCGCCTGCCTTGCACATCTTGGCACTGCGCCAGCGTCCATCGCGTGTGCTGTGCCCTCGAAAATGGCACGTTGGTTGTCCCTTGGGAACGCATCTAACACAATGGAAGGGAACCCACTGTTAGCTCGCGTCACGGGCCAAAACCTCTTCTTGCACGATTTGCAAGTCGGAGGATGCGGAGCGCCGAAACCCTTCTGCTCATTCTGCTGTGGTCGCTGGGCAGGGGCCTGGGGAGCATCTCGCACGGGCAATGGAGGCCTCTCATGATCTGGCAGCGCACCGTACTGGACGGCATTCATGTATTGAAGTCCAGCCTGGAGATACGCACTGATTCCTCTCGCTTCGCGGGGTGCACGTCCGGAGCACGTACAGTCACGTCGCGGGGCCTTTTGGGAGCCTCTTGGGGGCCTCCTGGAGGCCTCTTGGGAGCTTCTTTGGGCCTCTTGGGGACTTCTTCTGGCCTCTTCCCTCCCTTTTTTGACTCCCTCCCCATCTTCCCTTCCAGCGCTGGCTCTAATCATGGGCGCCGCCGTGACCAACTTCCACCTGGCTGGCGCTGCGCCGCAGTTCGTCCAGGGGGGGAAATAATATTACACTCCAGTCGCTATGTGGCCTTTGGGGGGCTTCTTTGGGGCCTTTTGGAGGCTTCTTGGGGACTTTTCGGAGGTCTCTGGGGGGCTTTTTGGGGCCATTTGGGGGCCTCTTGGTGGCCTCTTGGGGCCTCTTGGGGGCGTCTTGGGCCGTCTTGGGGCGCTTTCGCGCCGTTTCGCCCCTTCGGAGGCCGTCTTGGGGGCCTCTCGCGGCCGCCTTGGGGCCCTCTTGGGGTCCTCTTGGGCCGTCTCAGGGGTTTCTTGGACCGTCTTGGGGGCCTCTTTGGGCCGTCTTGTGGCCCTCTGGGGCCGTCTTGGGGCCCCCTTGGGTGTTTCTTGGGCCTTCTTGGGGCCATCTTGGAGGCTGCTCGGGCCGTCATGGGCTTCGGAGAGGCGAAAAAGGCGAGAAAGCTAAAATCTTTCAAAAACGTAAGGAAAATCAATGTTTTTGGCCTCTGGAGGCGCTCTTGTGGGCGCTCTTGGAGCCCTCTTGGGCCGTCTTGGGTTTTTTTTGGGCCCTCTTGGGGCCATCTCGGGCCGTCTTAGGGCCGTCTTGGGCCGTCTTGGGGCCATCTGGAGCCGTCTTGGGGCCCGTTGAGACCCCCAAGAGGGCCAATGTGCCGAAATCATTGATTTCCCATACGTTTTGGTACGTTTTGGGGCCCCAAAAGGGGGGCCGCCAGTTTGGTACGGCGCTGTGGCGCGACTCCAGGGGGGGGTTAGGGGGGGAGACGTAATAATGTAATACAATACAATATGTAGCAATTATGCAATCATTGGACACATTGGATCCGTTGCATTACAGCATCCGCGGACATGCCTCCGGCAACACGTCACTTCCGGACGTGGATTCTCGGGCTTACGCCGCACCGCCGACCCCTTGGTGGTGTATTATATGCCTTCCGGTGGGGGCCTCGTGTCAGCCCTGTGAGGGTTCTGGTGGGATCTCCTGTGGTCTTCTTGGGGCCGAGGGCTCGGAGTGTCTGATCGGGTCCTTTGGCTGATTTTCTTTTGGAGTTGGTCTTGCGTGCCTCTGCGGGCGTCGTGGAGGTCGCAGCTGCCGTTGTGGTGCCGTCGTGGGGGCCTTGCGGGTCCGCCACAATGGCCAAATAGCCCCGGATTTGTCGGTAGTCGGGTAGAGCAGGGGGTGTATATCCGGAAGGAATACTGACACAGGTCAATCCCAGCGACAACGCCGCAGTCGGTCTCCTTCATATCATTCGCACACAATCTCCCATCGTCCCTCCAAATTATGAGTTCATACCATCCCAGCTCAACTGGTGCGTGAATTGTGTTTGTATTTGTATAGGTGACATTCGGCCCATCCTGCTACCGTGCCTGGGCTGTGGCTCAGAAGCCTCTTGGATGTGCGATGGGATCTCGTGAGAAGCGTCGTTGGGGCCTGGGGCCTTCCCGAGGCAGCTTGGCGGCCTCTGGGGGGCTGTTTGGGGGCCTCTTGGGGCCTCTTTTGGGGCTCTAGGGGGTCTCGTGGGGGCGCCTCGTGGAGCCCCTGGAGGGCCTCTTGGGCCATCCCGGGAACTCCTTGGGGCGGAGAGCTAGAATTTTCGGTTCGTGGTCCCCTTCTTGAGCATTTCTGGAGACCTTCTTGGAGGCCTCTTGGGCTGTCTTGAGGTCCTCTTAACCCGTGTTCGGGCCCTCTTGGGCCGTCGTGGGACCTTCTCGGGGGCCCGACGGGCCGTCTTAAGGCAGTTTTGGGGGCCTCCGGGGCCGTCGTGGAGCGTCGGAGGCCCGAACTGGCGAGAAACCCAAAAACTCGACAAAACAGTAACAAACATGATTTTGGCATCTTGGGGCCCTCGTGGGAGGTCTCGTCGAAGCCTCTTGGGGCGTCTTGGAGGCGCCTCTTGGGGCCTCTTTTGGGGCTCTTGGGGGTCTCGTGGGGACCTCGTGGAGACCCTTGAGGGCCTCTTGGGGCTTCCCGGGAGCCTCTTGGGGCGGAAAGTGGTCCCTTTCTTTGGCCCTTCTTGGGGCCTTCTTGGAGGCCTCTTGGACTGTCTTGAGGCCCTCTTGACCCGTGTTCTGGCATCTTGGGGCCCTCGTGGGAGATCTCGTCGAAGCTTCTTGGAGGCGCCTCTTGGGCCCTTTTGGGGGGCTGTTAGGGGTCTCGTGGGGGCCTCAACGGGGAAGGGGGGGAGGGGAAGAGGGAGGAGGGGAGGGCAGGAGGGGGGAGGGCAGGAGGACGGCAGGAGGGAGGGGAGGAGGAGGAGGAGGACGAGAGGGAGGGGGGGAGGAGGGAAGGGGAGGAGGGGGGGGAGAGGGAAAGAGGGGGGGGCAACAACAAAAATCGATGATTATTTTTGGTGTTCGGCCCCCCCTTCCACCCTCCCCCCCTAAGGTTGCAAACCCTCCCCCCCGGTCACGAATATGATTGTACGAGGGGTCTCACAATCGAAAGCGTGACCAAACGGCGTCCCCCCCCTTCTCAAGGCGCATTCCTGACCATGCCCCACCGACGCACGAGAAAACATGAGACGGAAACGGAAACGGTTCAGACAAAGCCCCCCCCTAAAAAATCTAACTACCCACCCACACAAAAAAATATAAAAGGAACAGCAAACAGGAAAGTCTCCAGAATGCAGGGGGGATTCAGTCCCGTAACCTACAACGAAGCCTCAGCACGGGATTCGCGCCGTGGGTTGCATTTCGCGCGAGCTTGCGTTCCCCTGAATCGCCTTATCTAACGAAGATTATTCCTCCCCACCCCCTCCCGTCATCCACTCCCACCTCCTCCTTGCCTCCTCCATTACATCACCCCCCCCCTTTTCCAACCCCATGTCATAGCTTGGATTCAATGCGCACAATGCTATCCGACATCTCGTTGACAGGGGTTTCAACAGTTTCAAAAGCCTTTGGAATTGTAGGGAAGTTTCAAACTTGGTAGCCGCACCTAGGTTGTGCAAGGTTGAAGAGTTTTGAAACGGTTGGGACCCCGGATTACCAGGTCCCCCAGATTCTCCGATATTTTTGGGCCCAGGGGTTTCTTTAAAGCTTCAACGTGTTGGTTTATGCTGGAAGTTGTAAAACAACGAGGCGGTTCAAAAGTTTGAGAAGTTTGCAAACTGTTGGAACGTCTGAAATCATGGATTCCCAGGTTCCCTGGATTATCCAAAACCCTGGGGCCCGAGGGCTTCAAGAGCTTCAACAATTTAAAACGCTTAAACAATTTTTTGTGCTCAAACATTTCAAGGGATTCTTCGTTTTGAAAAGGCTCGAAGCTTTTGAATCCCTGGATTCCCAGGTTCCCTGGATTCTCCGAAATCCTTGGGGCCAGGGGGTTCAAAAGCTTCAACAGAGTAAGGTCTTCGAATCTTTCAGAAACTTGAGGGTGATTCCACGAGTCTTCAATCCGTTTGAAACTTCCGAAATCCTGGATTCCCAGCGTCCCGAGAATGTTCCAAAATCGTAGGGCCCAGGCGTTCCAAAAGTTTCAATATGTTTGAGTGGTTGGAGAAGCTTGCAAGGTTGAGGTGCTCAAAGGTTCAGAGAGTTTTCAAAAGTTTAGAACTTTTGAAAGAGGCAGCGGCAGCATCATCAGCATTCCCATCATCTGCATCAGCATCATCATCAGCAGCAGCATCGTCATCAGCATCATCATCATCGTCATCATCATCCTATTCATCCGCATCATCATCATCATCATCATCATCATCAGCAGCAGCAGCAGCATCATCATCATCATCCGCATCATCACCCGCATCATAACCATCATCAGCCGCAACATTATCGCCTTTATCCTCATCAGCACCTTCCACCTTCATCATCAGCAGCAGCATCGTCATCATCAGTATCATCATGTTCATCAGCGTCAACATCGTCATCATCAGTATCACCATCATCAGCAGCAGCACCATCATCAGCATCATCATCCTCGTCGTCAGCATCCGCATCATCATCATCCTCATCATCATGAGCATCAGCATCATTGTCATCGTCATCGTCATCGTCCTCATCAGCATCAGCAGCAGCATCATCATTATTATCATCAGCCTCATAAGCATCATCATCATCATCATCATCATCATCATCATCATCATCATCATCGTCATCATTTACAGCATCATCATCAGCATCAGCATCATCAGCAGCAGCATTTTCATCCGCAACCTCATCCTCGTCCTCCCTCCCTCTCGTATTCCATTTTCTCCTCATTATCCTCCTCCACCTCCTTCTCTTCATCCCCCGTCATTACCCGCATCATCATTGTTCTCCTCCCCTCCTCCTTTTCCTCTTCCTCGTCCTCCTCATCTTCCTCCTCATCCTCCCCCTCCTCCTCCTCCTCCTCCGCCCCATCATCACGCCATCATCAGCAGCAGCATCAGTAGCATCAGCATCGCCATCATCAGCAGCATCATCAGCATCATCCTGATCGTCATAATCATCAGCACCTTCAGCAGCAGCGTCATCCTCTGTATCCTTCTCCTCCTCCTCCTCCGTCTCATCATCCTCTCTCTCCTCCTCCTTCCTCCTCCCTCCTCCTTTTCCTCCTCCTTCTCCTCCGTCTCCTCATCATCATCATCATCATCATCATCATCATCATCATCATCATCAGCATCATCATCATCATCATCATCATCATCATCATCATCCTGATTTTCCCCCTCCTCCCCGTCCTCCGTCTCCTCCTCCTCCTCCTCCTCCTCCTCCTCCTCCTCCTCCTCCTCCTCCTCCTCCTCCTCCTCCTCCTCCTCCGCTCCTCCACTGCTGGCGGTTTGGCCTTCAGAGCTGTTGCAGCCGTGTTGCTGCCAAATTTTCCTTAAAAACGTCCTCATCTGCCAAAGGAGTCTACGTCCGAAGCCTCCGCATGCCAGTTCAACGGTGGAAACGAAAATCCTCCTCTTCGATTTCTTGTCCTTATAGATAGCCCTTCCATGTCGCACCCCCAGGCGTGTCGGTAAGGCGGACCGGGCGTTTCGCCTGAGATTTCTTCAGCGCTTGAAATGTGTAACAGTTCCACGGTTGGAGGGGGTCGTTTTCAAAATATCTGTCGCACATCATCGCTACTGGCTGGCGAAATTTACAAGGGTGGAACACATCGTTTTCAAACTAATAGTATCGCCTTAGCGCCGCGCACATTCGTTCCAAAAGTTGGCAACAGCTACAAGGATGGAGCAGAGGTCGTGGTCAAAAAGGGGAGCCCGCGCTTTGGCGCAGCGCGCAATCGTCTCAAAAGCTGGCAGCCTGGCCAAATCATGGAGCACAATTTCATGTTCAAAATGGGGCTCCCGCCTCGGCGCCGCGCACGTTCGTCTCAAGAGTTTGCAGCAGCTGCAAGGGATGGACGACTGGGGTCTCCGCTCCAAGCTTCCCCGTATCAAGATAGTGACGGACACAAGGCTGCACGCACGGAGGGCGGGTCTGCTTCAACACGGGCATGCCGCGTTGCACTTCTTCGGGATTCGTGACCCGAGCCGTGAGAGCGTGCAAGAGCTCCACCGACGAAGGGCGCCCAGGAAAAGAAAAGCAGAAACCACACCGAAGACACCTCGCCGAGCTGTCCGGGCACGCCTCTCGCAGACGTGGCTACGCGCTGGGAGGTTGCGAGGCGGCCCCTCTGCAAAGCGGGGCTGTCGCCCCGACGGCAGGCCCAAGGAGCGTCGGTCGTTCGAGGGGGGCGCTTCCTGTAGCGTAACGGAAGGCCTGCAGCGACTTGTGAGGAGGGGCCGCGCGGAAGCGCGGCAGCGTGTGCTGACGCATCGTTGACGCACTTGGGTTTTTGTTCTGGTGCCTCGTCCTCCTCCTCCCTCCTCCATCCCTCCTCCTCCTCCTCTTCGGCATGGCACCGACTCTGGCAGGCTGAGCCCTAGCGTCAGCCTCCTTCTCCTCCACCTCCCAGCATTGCACCGACTCTGGCAGGGTGAGCCCTAGCGTCAGCCTCCTCCTTCTCCACCTCCTCCTCCTCCTCTTCCATCTCTCCTCCTCCTCCTCCTCCTCCTCCTTCTCCTCCTCCTCTTCCTCCTCCTCCTCCTCCTTCCCCTCCTCCTCATTGCGCGGCCGACAGGTCTTCGAAGCTCGGCGAGGATGGCGCGTCCACGGTGCCGCTCCCTGACGGTTGCAGGCCTCCTCGTCTTGCTCCTCCTCTTCCTCCTCCTCCTCCTCCTCCTCCTCCTCCTCCTCCTCCTCCTCCTCCTCCTCCTCCTCCTCCTCCTCCTCCTCCTCCTCCTCCTCCTCCTCCTCCTCCTCCTCCTCTCCCTCCTCTTATCTGAACATTTCAACCAACACAAGTTGGCGCATCTTCGGCAAGGGTACAGTAAACGTTTGACGCAATATGTACGTCTAACTCGTATCCTTGGCGAAAGTGATGAACGATACGCCAGACGGCATTGACAGGAGTTCCAGATGCTAAAGATCTCGAACGGGATCCAAGATTTGATAGACCGCGCTCGTGGGGCCCGACAGACTAGAACGGGGGCCCCAGCTTGAAGCTACCCCTCTCCCCTCTTCCTTGCTAAAGGGGGGGGGGCTTCGGAAGCCCCCCCCCCACCCCCCTTTTCGTGGTCCGGAAATGGGGGGGGGGCTTCCAAGCTACCCCCCCCTCCGTCACTTCCCCTCCTCCTCTTTTTCGTGGCCGGAAAAGAAGGGGGGGGGGGCTTCCAAGCTACCCCCCCCTCCCTCCTTTTAATGGAGCGGAGCTGGGGTGAGCCACCCCCCCCTTTGAAAGGGGGGGTGGCTTTGGAAGCTCGCCCCCCCCTCCCTCCCTTGGTGCAAAAGGGGGGGGGGGGCTTGAAGCTCCCCCCCCCTCTCCTCTTTGGCTCGTGTGGGGGAGGTTTTTGATTTGAGTTGTTTCTTGGCGGTCCCGGGGCCCGCTGAGCTCCTCTGGAGGCCGAACATATCCAAGAGCTTCCTCCTTGATTTTTTTGCAAGACGTCGGAGGTCTGGGTCCCGGGGCCCGTCCCGGCCGATCTCTTCCTCTCCTGGGGCCGGAGGCAGAAAATCTCCAAACCCTTCCGCCTTGATTTTTTCAAGACGTTGGAGGTCTGGGTCCCGGGGCCCGCCCCGGCCGACCTCCCGGAGGGGGAGGGGAGGTCTCCCGGAGGCTTCCCCTCAGGAGGAGAAGGCCTCCTAGAGGTTTGTAGGGGACCTCCTTAGGGAGACCCCTATGCGATCTCTCCCCTCCGGCTGGGCCCGCCTCCAGAGCGGCCCCAGGGGCTGCCCGGGGAGCGGGCTTCGGAGGCCGGGGCGCGGCGGAGGGGCTTCCCCTTAGGCCTCGGGCCCCGAGCCCCGAGCCAGGCAGGCGACCTCGAGCCTCGAGCTTCCCCGAATCTTGATCCTCGTTCCTCGACCCTGGATCGGGGGAAGGAGAAGCGACACCAATACCACCAGGGAGGCTACCTCCAGCGAGGGGGTCCACGATGCCTCCCCGAGCTGTGAGAGGAGGGAGGGGATGGAGGGGAGGGAGGTGAGGGAGGGGAAAGAGGAGAGGATATGGAGGCGGCGGAGGGTGCGGAGGGTAGGAAGAGGAGCGAGGAGAGGGCGTCGCATAGGGAGGAGTAGAGTAGAATAGTATTTGTGTGTTCCTCCAGGATTGTATATTGTGGATTCCTGACTTGCCCATGACACGAGTATAGAATAATAGTATTTGTTTCGTTCCCGGGCGTTAGCACGGGACGAGTTGAATGATACACTTGCGTTGCAACCGATTGCAATACATTGGATTGCAAGCGATCCGATTGCAATCCATTGGATTGCAATCGATTGGATTGCAATCGGTTGAATTGCAATCGATTCAATCGATTGGATTGCAGGGGAGGGACAGGACGGAAGGGAGGGAGGGGAGGAGAGGGAGGGGAGGGAGGAGATGGAACGAAGGGTGTGGAGGGAGGGGAGGGAGCGGAGGGAGGTGGGGAGGGGGATTGCAGTGGAATGGAGTGCAATCGATTGCAAGCGATTCGATTGGGATTTTCGATCGTCGATCGTTGATCGTCGATCGTCCATCCTCGATCGTGGATTGTTCATTTTGGATCGTCGGCGAAAGGGAGGGCGGAGGCTCCGGGGGCTGGGCGGCCAAAGGGGGCAAGGGGGGGGGGCAAGCTTCCAAGCCCCCCCCCCCTTTGGCACAAAGGGGGGGAGGGGGGGGGAGCTTCCAGCAGGGCGGCTCCAAGGGAGGGGGGGGGTAGCTTAAGCACCCCCCCCTTCCGGAAAGGGGGGTAGGGGGGGGTAGCTTCCGGAAGCGGCCCAAGTGGGGGGGGGGGAGCTTCCAAGCACACCCCCTCCTTTGCACGAAAGGGGGGGAGGGGGGGGGTAGCTTCCAGCAGGGCGGCGCCAAGGGAGGGGCGGGGGTAGCTTAAGCGCCCCCCCCCCTTTGGAAAGGGGGGGTGGGGGGGGGGGCTTCCGGGGAGGGCCCAAGGAGGGAGGGGGGGGTAGCTGTAAGCCCCCTCCCCCCTTGCAAAGAAAAGGAGGGGAGGGGGTGTGTGCTTCCAACAAGGGCGGCTCAAGGGAGGGGGGGGGTAGCTTAAGCCTAGCCCCCCCTCCCCTTTGCTCTGGTCCTGTGGGCGTGCTGTCTCCAAGATTTTGATGCGCTACCGGCCTGCAGGGTTTTTGAATACGCAGGAAATGTTGCAAGAGAAGCGCACCGGGATCCGCATAAATTTCTGTGCAGGGTGTTGCTGTGGAACCGTTGGGAAGAGGGCGCGGCCAATTGACTACTGCCTGGTGGACCGCAAGGTTTTCGACGGCATTGCCAATATCATCGGGAAGGGCAGTTCACTCGGTCGTTTGCGTTGCAAGAGGGGAAGGATTGGACGCAGTGCGCACTCGATCGACAAGCTTGGAGAGCCAGGTGCAGGGACTTGATATTTCATTAGCTGGGAGGATTGGCGGATCGAGCGGTGATGGATTAGACCAATTTTCCTGCTCGACGGGGTTGCCGGCGTCACAACACTTCAAGGCAGAGCAACCAACCGACCTCCTCCTCCTCTTCCTCCTCCTCCTGCCCCTCCTCCTCACTGAGTCAATTGAGCGGCCGACAGGCCTGCGAAGCTCGGCGAGGACGGCGCGTCCACGGTGCCGCTCCCCGACGGTTGCAGGCCTCCTCCTCGTCTTGCTCCTCCTCCCTCCTCCCTCCTCCCTCAACCTTCCTCCCTCCTCCCTCCCTCCTCCCTCATCCTCCCTCCCCCTCCATCATCATCTTCCTGCCTCCGACGACATGTTTTCTTCAATCCCGGCGCTCTCTTCGGTTCCGGCCTCTGGGCCCCGTGAGCGGGCCCCGGGGCTGTCAAAGGCAGGTCCTGGGAGGGAAAGCGACCCTCGGGGTCGAGGGCCGAGGGTCGAAGAGTGGTCGAGGATCGAGGAGGGGTCGAGGATCGAGGAGGGGTCGAGGATCGAGAAGGGGCCGAGGATCGAGGAGGGGTCGAGGAGGGGCCGAGGGCCGAGGATCGCGGAGGGCGCGCGATCGACGAGGGTCCGGGAGCGAGCAGGATCCAGGATCGAGGAGGGCGCTGCCTCCTCGACGGTTAACTCGCAGGCCTGGCGCGCGCGGCCGCGGGCGCCCGCGGCTCGCTCCCCAGGCGGTCGCTTGCCTGGCGGGGCCGATGCTCGGCAGCTTTCGGCCTCTCGGGGGCCCTCGCTGGGCCTGCCTGCGGGCGGCGCCTCCGCCTGATCGGCTACACGTAATAGAGACCTTTCGCTGGAGTGGGCTGTGGTGCGGCGCCAGAAATGCCCCCGAGCCTCCTCCACTTCTTCTGCTTCCTCCTCCTCCTCCTCCTCCTCCTTTTCCTCCTCCTCCTCCTCCTCCTCCTCCTCCTCCTCGTTTTCCTCCTCCTCGTCCTCCTCCTCCTCCTCCTTCTCGCCCTCCTCTCCGTCCTCCTGTTCCTGATCTCCCCTCCTCCTCCCATTCCCCATTCCCCCTCCTCCTTTTCCTTCTCATCATCCTGGACGGGCGCACTGGGGTCCCTAGACGCTTGTATGCGACGCGATGGCAGCGGCCTGCTCGCGTTCGGGCTTGGCCCTTCCATCCCCCGCGCCACCCGAAAGCCGCGCACCGAAGGTCACTCTGGCCTGGAGTCACTCTTGCGCGCAGCCGACCGGAGCCAGATGTCGCCGCTGAAGTTCTAACGACAAGGGCCGGACGCGCCCTCAGAACTCGTCTTTCGAGGCCTTCGCGGCGACAGCCCTGACAGTGGAATTGACCGGCGCCGCCCTCCACAAGCACCATGATGCCGAACGCCGCACGTTTCCCAGCATGGGTAGCTGGGTTCTTGTGGGTTTGCTTTCTGCGTCGACCCAGCTGTCGCCTCGGAGTAGCTCACAAGGTGGTGCTGCCTCTCGCTCTGTATCTTGTTCGCCCAACGAGCTCACTGATTAGCTGAAATACGTGGTTGTGCTAGCCAACGCGGCCAACATCGCCATCATCACCAGGAACATCATCACCAGGAGCCAACATTTTAGTCGTCATCATCGCCATCATCACCAGGAGCATGATATTATCCTCCTCCTCTTCCTTCTCTTCTTCCTGGTCTCCCGCCTGCTCATCATGCTCCTCCTCCCTCTGCTCGTCCTCGCCATTACACCTTATCCTCATCCTTTTGTATGCTCGTCTTTGTCCCGCTCTATCTTCATATTCCTCCATAGTTACCTTATTCTCCCTCGCCCAATTACTCCTCTCACCTGCTACTCCTGCTCCTCCTCTTCCTCCTCCTCCGTCGCAAGCGGCTAAGGATGAGGATGGTCACACCATCATGCAGGCCAGCCGCTTAGTGCTGGAAACCTAGACCGCGTTGCCAGATTGCAAACAATTCATCGTTGTTTGTCGCTATCTCGATCGGGCCCAAGGCCCCAGAAAACTCAAGGCACATATTTGGAGGCAAGCCTACAGGAAAGATGATGTTGCGAAGACTGGATCTGGTCACGTCAAAGGGCACTCCACGACGACGGACGTCACAGAAAGGGTGCTGAACGAGTCGCAGCGGATATAGAAAGCTAGGGGTCATTACGAAATTGCCGTTGGGTTCCCAGGAGAATACTCGTTCGAGGGCGGCCTTCGCCTTCGTGTAGCTATGGTGGGAAACATCGCCAGGCTCGAGTTGTGGCTCTACGAGCAGGAGCAGGAATTTCTGAAGTACGAGATTCCGATTGAGGAAGAAGAAGGAAAGGATAAGCTAGACCAGGCGTTCCGGCACGAGGAGCCAGTTCCACCGTGGCGGCTTGCTCAGAAACACGCCTTGTTGAGTACTCAGCTTACGGCGAGGACTACCCCCCTGTGTCCTGCACCAGTTGCTGCAAGTGTTTGGAAACGGCCACGAAGACACACAGGACTGGACAGCATCTGCCGCGGGCAGGCAGGAGTTGGCGGCAGGGTTGCCGAGAACGCTCGGCACTTCGAGAACTTGCGCCACCCGCAGCCAGCCAAGAAGCACATCGGGCAGGGGCGGCCGCACCGGCCCACTGTAGCAGACACCAGGACCAGACTGTGCAAGACGAAGGATTGGACGAACCCAGAAGCTGGCCTTGAACAGCCTCGCCCTGCCCAGAGTGCCAGCGCCGGTCGCGACCTCACCTGCCTCGGCGCGCCCAGAGCCGTGGTGGAGCGTGGCGTGGCCTGCCAGGGCGCGATCCTGCTGCGCAAGCGGAGAGACGGTTGGAGATGACTCGGGCAGCGCACGGCGAGGTGATGATGGGCTCCCTGAGTAAGGGCGCTGGCTGCTGGCTGGGTGCTTGCCGAGAAGATTTGTTTGTATAGATACGCATACATACATGCATGCATACAGACAGACAGACAGACATACACACATACACAAGTACTCACACATACACATGGAAATGCAACAGCAAAGAACACATGTTTGTTCGCTCTTATCTGCTCGAGTGTCATTCAACGTGTATTGCGAAGGTCTTACGGCCGGTGCCGCCGACATTGAAGACGACGAAGATGAAAGGGAGGGGGGAGGGGGAGGAGGAGGAGTGGCAGGAGGAGGAGGAGGAGGAGGAGGAGGAGGAGGAGGAGGAAGGGGTGCAGGAGGTGGATGAGGGAGGAGGAGGGGGGGGAAGGATGAGGAGGAGGAGCAGGGGGGTGAAGGAGGAGGCAGAGGATAGCAGGAGGAGGGGGAGCCGGGGGCGGGGGGGGCAGGAGGAGGAGGAGGCGTTGTGGCCTTCTTGGCTCTTTTGGGAACATCTTTGCATGGTTTCGGGCGGTGTTTCCCCTTAGACCCACCCAGGGAGCCCTCCCTGGGACTCATCTCCTAGTGGGGAAAGAAGTGCAGGGAAGGGGCTTCCAATCGACTGTACTAACGACATTGATCGATTTCGCTGTAGATCGCGCGGTTGAGACGGCAGGCTCAGGAAAGGGGACGGGGGACGACGGAGACGGCGAGGAGACGATTGTGACGACGACAGAGACGACGAGAAGGAGGAGGAGGAGGAGGAGAATGAGGAGGATGAGGACGAGACGGAGCAGGAGGAGGAGGAGGTCGAGGAAGAAGAGGACGACGACCACGACGACGACGACGACGACGACGTGGCATTCAGGAAGTCTATGGTGTTTGTCGCAGGGCTGCTTGGAGGACTCTTGAAGGCTTCGGCGGGGGCCTCTTGGAATCATTTGAGATCTCGTTGTGGGTTCTTGGAGCCCTCTTCGGGCTTCCTGGGCGGCTTCTTCGGGGCATGTTGAGGGAGGAGGAGGAGGAGGAAGAGGACGAGGAGGAGGAAGAGGAGGAGGAGGCGGAGGAGGAGGAAGAGGAGGTGTAGGAGGAGGAGGTGGAGGAGGAGCAGGAAGAGGAGGAAGAGGAGGAGGAGGAGGAGGAGGAGCAGCAGCAGCAGCAGCAGGGGGGAGAAGGGAACGAGGAGGAGGAAGGGGATAAGGAGGAGGAGGAGGAGGAGGAGGGAGAGGAGGAGGAGGAGGAGGAGAAGGAGGAGGAGGGCGCTTGGGGTCATGTTCGATCTGTCTCTAGGCGCTTTTGGGCTGCCTTCGACTGGTTTGATGGTCTTGTCGGACCGTCTTTGGGCTTTCAGACGCCCGACAAGGCGAGAACGCGAAAATGTTCCGAAACCACTCAGAGAATACATGATTGCTACCTCGTGATCCAATCTTGGCGCCTTCTGGGGGTCGTTCAGGGCGTCATGAGGCCATCCTGAGTTCGTCAGGCCTTTCCGAGCGTCTCCGACGTGTGGAAGCCCTCCTCGAGCCGTCTTGGAAAGCATCGTGGGCATCCCGGAGGCGACGGAGGGTGAATTTCGGCGACTCCGAGGGGCCCCAGAGAGCAGCGCCGCGGATCCCGAACCCCCCACCTCTGCGCCCACCTCTCGAAGCCCCTGCGCTGGACACTGGGCGAGGGGGAGAGGGGAGGGGGACAGCCAAATGTCTCATACGGTAGGTTCGCGTCGTGTCGACCAGCGGCGACCCCAGCGCGGGCGTTCAACCTTGAACGCCGACGGCGGCCCAGAATCGGTCGATGTTGAACGATCGGACGTTGCGGAGACGGCCGATCGTTCAAGGTTGAACGATCCAGCGCGGTGTCAGGAACCAACGCCAGGGTCGACACGGCACGGACCTGCAGTACGCCTTTTCACCCCACGCAAGCCGGGGTCCGCGGATCTGGATTTCCGCGCGCGAGGCGGGCGCCGCAGCCCGGATGAGCACGACGGGCAGCAGCAGCAGCAGCACCTTGTTGAGCAGCAGGCCGGACAGCCGCACCACGGCTCCGGCATACGCGAGCGAGACGAGCAGTGTGAGGAACACCGCGGTTGTGAGCAACACAGCAGAGACGGCGACTCTCAAGGGGGACCCTGAAGGGGGGCCCTGAAGTAAGGTCAGTAGGAGGAGGAGGAGGAGGAGGAGAATCAGGAAGAAGAGAAGGACGGGAAGAAATGACGAGGAAAAGGAGAAGAAGGAGAATGAGGAGAAGGGAGAGGAGGAGAGGAAGGCGGAGGAGGAGGAGGAGGAGGAGTTGTAGAAGAAGGAGGAGGAGGAAGAGGAGGGGGACAGATGAGGAGGAGGAGGAGGAGGAGGGGAGGGGCCTCTTGGAGCCTTGGTCGGGGTGTTCTTGGAGAGCTCCTCGGACGTCCAGGAGGCTTCTTGGATCGTCTTGGGGCCATCTTGGCCGCGTTGGGCCGATCTTTGAGCGACACGGGGCTCTTGTGGGCAATCTTGGGAGCCATCTTCGGCATTCGATATGTCGGGGCTGTTCGATATGTCGGGGCCGCCCGGGGGAAAACGAATCTGGGTGGCGATCCCCCCCGGGACCCCTCCCCCGGGACCCCCCCCCCTCCCCCGCGGGGAAGGGATCAAAGGGAAGGGGCCCCCCTTCGACTCCAATGCGACGTTGTACAATTTCGCTTTGGATGGCGCGCTCGAGGAGGGCCCAGAGAAAGGGACGGGGGCGACGAACGCGGCGAGGAGGAGACGACCGTGACGACGACGGAGACGACGAGGAGACGACGGAGAAGCCCCTCGCACACGCCGACAGGGCCGGCGGACTTCTAAGACAAGCACACACACACACGTTAAAAACACGCACACACAAGCACACGCACACACAAACACACACACACAAACACACGCACAAACAGTTCTAAGACAAACAACAACAACAACAACAACAACAACAACAATAACAACAACAACAACAACAACAACAACAACAACAACAACAACAACAACAACAACAAACACACACACACAAACAAACAAACAAACAAACAAACAAACAAACAAACAAACAGTCACACACACACACACACACACACACACACACATACATACACACATGTCAAAAACACACACAAACAACAAAATCCTGCTGCTCGCCATGCCCCCTCAGAGCAGCGGCGCCAGGCCTCGGAGCGCTGGCGGCGAGGACGGCGCGCCCACGGCGCGGCTCCCGGACGGCTTCAGGCCTCCCGCTCCTCCTCCGCCTCCCTCTCCTGCTCCTGCTCCTGCTCCTGCTCCTGCTCCTGCTCCTCCTCCTCCTCCTCCTCCTCCTCCTCCTCCTCCTCCTCCTCCTCCTCCTCCTCCTCCTCCCGCTTCTCCTGCTCCTCCTCTCCTCCTCCTCTTCTCTCCTCCCTCCTCCTCCTCCTCCTCCTCCTCCTTCCTCCTCATCATCATCATCTCCTCATCATCATCATCATCATCATCTCATCATCCTCATCCTCATCCTCATCCTCATCCTCCTCCTCCTCCTCCTCCTGCTCCTCCTCCTCCTCCTCTTCCTCCTCCTGATCATCCTCATCCTCCTCATCCTCATCCCTTTCCTCCCCTGCCGCTTCACTCGCTGAGGGGAGCAGGGTCCGACGCGTCCACGTATGGATCATATGCAGGATAGGGGGACGGGGAGGCAAAAGAGAAGAGCAGGGAAAAACACCCGCATCCTCACCCTCCTCCTCCTCTCCCTCGTCCTCCTCCTCTCCCTCGTCCTCCTCCTCCTCCTCCTCCTCCTCCTCCCTCCTCCCCTTCTCGTCCTCATCCTCCTCCTCCTCCTCTCCTCCTCCTCCTCCTCCTCCTCCTCCTCCTCCTCCTTCTCCTCCTCCTCCTCCTTCTCTCTTCGTCGTGGCCCATTTCTCGGTACACGGGCGCCTCCGGGCGCCGGGAGGCGCCAGGAAAACCAGCTGCGTGAGCTGATTCTCTGCCCTGCCCTTTGCTGCCCTACCCGCTTGTCCCCCCCAGGGGGGCGCTCCCTTGACTGCCGACGGCGACGTGCCCCGACCTGCCCGTGCTGGGATGATATGATTCGCGGCGGGCGCCAGGTGGGCGCCGACGGCCCCTCTCTGCGGGCAGGGAGCCCTGCCCAGAGAAGGGCATTGCAAGGCACGTTCCACCCTGCACGTCCCGCGCGCGGTGAGGTTCAGAGGGAGACGGTTGATGCCTCAAGCCGTCGCAGCAGCCAAGGCACGGTGCATGATTGATCCGTCGAAAGGAAGCGCCGCAGCAAAGCAGAATTGACGCTGCACTGTGCTGGTGAATTCTGAGAAGAACGACTGCCTGTCAGGTTCTCGACTCGTAACTCCCAGCTGTTGATCATGCCTGTGCTGTCGGAAGGTATCTGCCACTCGGACGGGCTGACGGGGTCGCATCTTGCCTCCAGCAAGCAGGTGACCACAGCACCCTGTGGTCCACGAATGAATCGCTCAGCAGGAGGACTCCAAAGCTCTCGAACTAGACCGTCCCATGATTGAGTGATGCCGGTATGCCAGGCTCCGTCGTCCAACATGAAACCAACAACCTCAGCCAATACACTGGCATTTTGACAGCCAGGTCTCGATCGTGCGCTCGAAGACAAAGCAGGGTAGAGAAGGGTAAGAAGAGGACCACGAGGAGGAGGAGCACGAAGACGATGAGGAGCAGGAGGAGAAGGGACGAAGAACCGAGACGCAGAAGCGAGCATCGAGGAGGAGGAGGAGGAGGAGGAGGAGGAAGAGGCCAAGGAGGAGGTGTAGGAGGCCGAGGAGGACGAGTACGAGGAGGAGGAGGAGGAGGAGAAGGAGGAGGAGGCAGGAGGGGGAGGAGGAGGAGGTGGAGGTGGAGCTCTTCGCCGCCGCAGCCGCAGCCGGCGGCCCGCAGGTCCTCGAGGAGAGGCGAGGACGGCGCGTCCCTGTCGCCGCACCCAGAGGCATCCAGGCGCAGGTCGCGGCTGTCGGTGGACAGCCAGGCCGTGTCGGTGCGCCAGGGGCACGGGGGGGGGGGAGGAGAAGGAGGAGGAGGAAAAGGAGGAAGAGGAGGAGGAGGCGGAGGAGGAGGGGGACGAGGAGGAGGGGGAGGAGGAAGAGGACGAGGAGGAGGAGGAAGAGAAGGAGGAGAGAGGAGGAGGAGGAGGAGGAGGAGGAGGAGGAGGAGGCGGCGACGGAGGAGGAGAAGGAGGAGGAGGAGGAGGAGGAGGAGGAGAGAAGGAGGAAGAGGAGGAGGAGGAGGAGGAGGAGTAGGAGGAGGAGGAGGAGAGAGGAACAGGAGGAGGAGGGATGAGGGAGGAGAGAGGAGGGAGGAAGGAGGAGGGAGGAAGGAGGAGGGAGGAGGAGGCAGGAGGGAGGCGGAAGGAGGGAGGAGGGAGTAGGAGGAGGAGGAGGAAGGGGAGGAGGAAGAGGTAGGAGGAGGACTAAGAGGAGGAAGGGGAGGGGGGTGAAGAAGGAGGACCAGTGTAAGCCAAGACTCATCAACGATGTTGCAGTAAACCCTCCCTTCTTTTCCACTGAGGGAACTGCCTCATTGGGAGACAACCGTTCAAAGTCCCTGTATCGTGCCAAATCACCAGCCTCGGGACTCCAACGCCACGAATCAACATGCTTGTTGCGACTTCACGATCCAGAACCGTGCCAGAACACCATTCCTGGGACTTCGACACCGCGAATTCGCGCAATTGTTGCGCCCTCACAATCATGAGCCCTTCCAAACACCATGTCTGCTACGTTGACAATGGGAGCCCGTGAATCTCTTGCAAATGTTTGACGAGTGCGGGCGGCGCTAAGGCGAGAGCCACAGTTTGAAACAGAGCCGCCGTCGATCTGTGAAGCTCTTGCGCAAGTGTTTAAATGTGCGCGGCGCTGAGGCGAGAGCCACATGTTGAAACCGACCTATCCTCGATCCGTGAACCTGTTGTTTTCAAAGAATGTGCGCGGTGCTAAGGCGAGAGCCACATTTTGAAAACGACTCGCCCCGAATCCGCAAAACTCTTGCATTTCTTGTGTAACGAATGCGCGTGGCGCTAAGGCGAGAACCACAGTTTGAAAACCACCCGCCCTCCATCTGTAAATAGGTTGTCAATGTTAAAGTTTCCGGGTATAACTGGTGAGGAAGTATCCGGCGAAGTGCCCTGCCCGCTCTTTCGACCAGAATCGGTGCGGCAGGGATGAGTTACTCAAATGAGAAGGGGATGGAGGTGGAGGTGGAGGAGGTGGAGAAGAAAGAATAGAATGATGAGGAGGAGGAGGAAGAGGAGGAGGAGGGAGGAGGGAGGAGGAGGAGGAAGAGGAGGGAGAAGGGAGGAGGGAGGAGGGAGGAGGGTGGACGGAGGAGGGACAAGGGAGGAGCAGCAGGAGGAGGAGGAGGAGGACCAGTGTAAACCCAAGAGCCATCAACGATGTTGGAATTTACCCTCCCTCCAAGCTCCCTCTTCACAGGCCCCTACAACGGTTCATGCCCATTGAGGAAACTGCCTCGTTGGACGACAACCGTTTGAAGATCTTGAAGCATGCCAAAACATTATCCGCGGGACTTCAACGCCACGTATCAACGTGACTGCTGCGTTTTGGCTATCTGGAATCGTGCCATAATTCCATTTTTTGATTTCAACACCGCGAATCAACGTAACTGTTGCACCCGCATAATCCTGAATCCTTGAGCATGGGAATCCGTGAAACTCTTCCAATTTGTTTACACGAATGCGCGCGGCGCTAAGGCGAGGGCCACAGTTTGAAAAGAAGCTGCCCTCAATCCGTGAAGCTCTTGCAATCTTTTTAGAATAAAGCAATGTGCGCGACGCTAAGGCGAGAGCCACATGTTGAAAAGGAACCGCCCTCAATCCGTGAAGCTCTTGCAATCTTTTTAAAATAAAGCTATGTGCGCGACGCTAAGGCGAGAGCCACATGTTGAAAAGGAACCGCCCTCAAGCCGTGAGGCTCTTGCAATTTGTTTACACGAGTGTACGCGGCGCTAAGGCGAGCGGCACATTTTGAAAACGGCCCGCCCTCAGTCCGTTGAACTCTTGCAAATGTTCAAAGCGAATGTGCGCGACGCTAAGGCGAGAGCCACATTTTGAAAACGGCCCGCCCTCAATCCGCGAAGCTCTTGCAATGTTTTACAAAAAATGAACGTGGCGCTAAGGCGAGAGCCACATGTTGAAAAGCACCCGCCCTCCATATGTGAAACTGTTGTCACTTCGGAAGTTTCAGAATTATAAATGGTGAGGAAGTCTCAGGCGAAACGCCGGGCCCGCCCCAAAAACTGGCCTCGGGGTGCGACAGGGAGGAGTTATCTATAAGGAGAAGGATTGGAGGAAGGAGGAGGAGGATGAGGAGAAGGAGGGACGAGGAGGGACGAAGAGGATGAGGCGGGAGGAGGGAGGAGGGATGAGGAGCGACGAGGGAGAAGGGAGGAGGAGGAAGGAGGGACGAGGGAGGGAGGAGGGACGAGAGAGGAGTGAGGAGGATGAGGAGGTGGAGGAGGAGAAGGAGGAGGAGGAGGATGAGGAGGGGGGGACGAGTTGGGAGGCGGAGGAGGAGAAGGACAAGAAGGATAAGGAAAAGGGGGAGAAGAAGGAGGAGGAAGAGGAGGAGGAGGAAGAGGAAGAGTAGAAGGGAGGAGGAGGGAGGAGGAGGAGGAGAAGGAGGAGGAGGAGGAGGAAGAGGAAGAGGAGGAGGAGGAAGGAGAAGAAGGAGGAGGAGCAGGAGGAGGAAGAGGAGGAGGAGGAGGAGGAGGAGGAGGAAGGAGAGGAAACAGGAGGAGGAGGAACAGGGCAGGCAAGAGCGTTTGCAAAGGAACACCCTCGGCGGCCCCTCGGCTGGCCATCGGGGGGGTTCAGAGAGCTCACGGGGTCACGGCTTTCCAGAGACCCAGAGCTTCGACGTCAAGATTCTCTCAAAACGGGAAGTCCGGAACCCCTCCCCAGAAAAACCCTCTCATCCCCATGCAGTTCGCTAGTAGCTGTCGCAAGAGGGTTCCAGTAGATGTAAGGCAGGACCACAGAAGAGCCCACGGGGGGGGACGGGGAGCCTTAGGACGCCCCCCGGTCCGGCAGCCGTTTCGCCTCCGAAAGTTTGACCAGTCGTTCAGAAATCTTGCTCTCGTTTCAATGCCCGCTGCATTTTGGGTCTGAACGGCCACGATGGTTGCAAGCGTCCTGGCGAAGAGCCCAACCATGTGCAGCTGTGAGTGCTGGAGTTGTGAATGCCGTCTTCGGTGGAGCTTCCCACGGGGCCACGAAACATGCGAGGGGTGTGCTGAAATTGCTAGGGCGGAGCCATGTGAACGAACCCACTTTGACCTTCGGTGGAGCTCCCTGTGGGGCCCACGAAACGTGTGAGGCGTGCGTCGAAATCGGGTGGGGCCGCCTTGCGAACTTTGCCACTGAGGCCTCCAGTGGAGCTCCCTGAGGGGCCACGAAACGCGTGAGGCGTGCGTCGAAATCGGGTGGGGCCGCCTTGCGAACTTTGCCACTGGGGCCTTCGGTGGAGCTCCCTGGGGGGCCACGAAACGCGTGAGGGGTGTCCAGAAATAAGGCGGGGCCGCCTTGCGAACTTTGCGATTGGAGCCTTCGGTGAAGCTCCCTAAGGGGCCGCGAAACGAGTGAGGGGTGTACCGAAAAGGACTGCGACGCCCACGTGCGGACGGTGGCGCTGAGGCCCTTGACAGAGCTCCTCGCAGGGGCCCTCGAAACGTGTGAGGGGTGTGCAAACAGAGACTTGCGGAGGGCAGGGGCAGGGATGGGAGGAGGGAGGAGGGGGGAGGAGGAAGAAGAAGAAGTAAGTGACGCGGGGCGCCGTCTCTTCAAAATGTGCCCCGACACAACAGGATGGCATGGGAAAAATACACTGAGGCGCACATGGACCGCACTCTTCGACCCGCCTCTTCACCTTTGCTGCTATCAGGGTGGTTTTCTGGGGTGACCGTTTTTGTCTCGGTCCCGGGGCCCCGCGAGGGTCCCCAGAAGCCGAAGACTACTAACAGCCGCCGGTCGACATCTGTTCGCCACGGGAGGCGATGGAGAGGGCGCCTGGAGGCCGCCAGCGCCCAGCGCGCGGCCTCCGCGCGCGAGGCCGGGCGCGCAGTGCGCCTGCGGCGCCCAACGCGCCCGCGCCCACCGCGCGGCCTCTGCGCGCGTGTCCAGCCGCGCAGTGCGCCCGCGGCGCCCGAAGCACTCCGCAGCCCGTTCCCCTCGGGCCACTGCAGGCTGGCCACCCGCGACGCGCGACCGGCGGCCGCGGCGCTCCTCTCATCCCCGGTCTCTTCCTTGCAGGCGCTCGCCCTCCCCTCTTCCTCCTCCTCCTCCTCCTCCTCCTCCTCCTCATCATCATCATCATCCGTAGCCATTTTGGCTCAAGATGCCAGGTTCCACAGGGGAACAAGTGGATACCGCTAGTCCGCGGCTGGCAAGACCCATTGTGGTCTGGCAGAGTTTCTCTCTCATCCTGTCGCTCGCCTCCACGGGTAAACGGAGGTGTTTCCCGTTCCTGTGCTGTCGAGCGCCGCAGTCGCCATGGGGCTCCCCGACGCTGCATCGCTCGCCAAAGTTGCCCAGGAGCTCGATGACATGCCCACCTTTCCTGTGGATGACCATGACGATGACCACCATGATCGGGGCTCACCTGAGCACAAGTACCCGCGCACAGAGGACGGCAAAGGCGGCAACTCCAGTGGCAAGGGAGTTGCTGGCATGGCTGCCCGCGCAGCGGGCGCTGTTGGCTCTGCTCTGTTCGGCGGTCGTTGCGATTCTCAGTGTACTCCTGGCTCGTCACCTGCAGGCGCCCATCGTGACCCTGCCCAGCCTCCAGTGCAGCAGCCCCAATATGATGATGACTATATCAGGCATGTCGCAGCAAACGCAGTTGCTGAACAATTCGGAGAACTACGATCGGAGCTGGAATCTTTGGTTGGATCTACCGTTGGCGCAACTGTGCAATCGTCAAACAAATCTATTCTCGACACACTTGAGTCTCTGCGAGTACAGATCTCGGCCCAGCCGAAAGAAATCGACCAGCAGATCATGGCCACTGTTCGCCCGCACATCGATGCCATTCACCGCGGCCTCCAGTCCAAGATTGACTCCCTCGGCTCTCATGTCAACACGCTCTCGATCGATGTCGAGAAGCACACTGCAGACATCGCCGACCTGCGTAAGCAGATGGAGGAGCTCCGCGGCGAGCTCATGGTCGCCAAGCGCACCGAGAAGGCTCCCACGGCACCACCCTCCTTCGATCGCGTGGAGGACCCCTCAGTCGTCGTCGCCATGGCTACGAAGATGGTTGGGATCGATGCTGTGCGTGCTTCACTCTCTCCCTTCTTGGGGGAGCTGGGCTTGGACGCATCATCATACACTATCAAGTCTGCTGGTCCGACTCCAAGCAGAAGGTACCTCATCTCTTTCAACGGCAGCGTGGGACTCGCGTCCAAATGTGTCAACAAAGTCCTGTCCAACCTCAGGCAAAACGATGAATGGCGTATCTTCCAGGCAGATGTGTCAGGCTCAACTCCCGCTCGCCTACATCTTGGACCAGACAAAAACCCAAAGCAAGTTAAAACGGAAATGGCGCTCAGGAAACTACGTGCTGCCCTCGCTGGCAAATACGAAGGGCGTTGGGCCGTGGACAGAGAACGCGGTGTCCTTCGCTGTGGGTGGACGCATATACTCAAGCTCTCCGCCCAACCTGACGACCAGCCATTCGACATCCTCTACAACGACGAGGGCCTCAGTGAGGTTGGCATTGCCAAGCACGAGGTCCGCGAGCTGGTCCAGTCCACCATTGCACCGCCACCGCCACCGCAGTGGTGTCTTTAACGAGCTGATGCAGATGTTCAATCTCCCTCAAGCCAAAGATGGAAGCACCGCTTTGAGATGTGCTACATGGAATGCGAGGGCGCTCCTGCAGTACCAAGGGGCGAAAGCTACTACCAAGTTACGATATCTTCAGCAGATTCACCTGCAATCCACGTTGCTGGCGATGCAGGAAGTTCACGCTGACCGTGTCCAATTGGAACAGTTCGTGCTCCAAGCTCATGCCCATGCAGTAGTCCACGCCTCATTTTGTGCAGTCGATCAAGGGGGATCGGGTGCTGGAGGTGTTGCTACTATTCTTCCTCGACTCGCTCTTGACGGAGCCTCGTCTAGCTGTGCCACGCCGCTCATTCCAGGAAGGGTCCTGCAAGTTGATGTGCATAGACGTGGATATCAGTTGACACATTTTAATATACACAACCACGGCCTCTCCAGTCACCAGGTGGACATGGTCTGTGAGCAGATCGACAGGTATCGGGTCGCGGCGGCGTCTGACCCTACCCACCACCTGGTCATTGTGCAAGGTGACCTGAATTTTGGCCCTGACGAAGCTCTGGTGCTACATCGCCCACTTCCCGCGCATGCATCCGATCCGCGGAATCATCGTGCCCAAGCTGCCCGTTGGCTTCGCTCTCTGGGGGCGCTTCTTGAAGTATCATCGTCTGCGGCTACTCACTATACGAAGCACACCAACTCTGTCAGCTGCATAGATCGGTTCTTTTGTTCTTTACCTGGATGGATGCTATGCCAAGTTCATGCTGAATCCACCACAGTTGGCGAGCCAGAAGCGTTGTCTCGGGCTCAAATCTCTGATCATGCCGCGCTGGTGACTACGTTGCGCCAGCGCCACCATCGACCACGGGGAGAACAAGCTATACCGCGGCACCTCTTCCATGACCCGCTCTTCAAGAGACGCATCGAGGGGATGGTGGCTGATGGCCAGAACGCCATTGATGCACACGCTGGCTCTATTTATCAGGAGCATTTCAAAGAGACGCTCAAGGAGGCTGCACGGGAGGTCCGAGACATGCTCTTCACGCTGAAGGCGGAGAGTGACGAGACGGCGATCATCGTGGCCCGCAGCTGCGCTCGAGCTATCTGGCGGCAGGACGTCCCACTGGCTCGGCGGCTTATTTCCACTTCGCAGTGGGCATCAGACGCACTGCTAATTGAAGGCCCACAAGTTCGCCTTCGGCATGCTGAATCATTTCACTCGTGGTCCGACGGAGTCCACCTGCGGCTTCTGGAAAAAGAATTGCAAGCCAACGTCGATCATGCCACTGGTCTCTCTGCTTCTCGCCGTCCCATCTCCACCCGCCGTCGACAGCAGCTATTGGAGAGGAAAGCCGCCATCTGGGCCCCTTTCTCTCGCCGACTCATCCTGCAGAAGGTTCGATCCGGCCCTACTCTATCTCACTCGCCCGAAGATCGGTTTCAAGCTTTGAGTAACTATTGGCGCCCTGTATTCTCTCGAGGCTCTGTTCCAACCCATCGCATTGAGGCCTACCTCCAGGATCACCTGAAAGCTAATGTTCAATGCGAAGTCCCTCCTCCCACCAAGGCTGCTATCCGTTGTGCTGTGCGAGGCGCACGGCACTCTGCCCCTGGGGTGGACGGCATCCCCTATGCCGCATGGAATGCCTCTGACTGCTGTGTCGACGTCTTGTGCAACACCCTCGACTGGGTGCTCAGCGGGGGGTCCCTCTTCGATGCCGCGAGTGTCACGCTGCAGGCCTTCCTGCCCAAGGGTTCTGAGGACGAGGACGAGGCCTCTGGAGGCTGCACGCGGACAGCTGACAAAATTCGAGTGCTTGGGCTTCGAAACACCGACATCAAAATCATGACCTCTGTTGTCAATCGCTCGCTCCGTAAAGTGGTCGAGGAGGTGGTTCCCTGCTCACAAAGGGGGTTCGTGGTCGGCCGTAACTTTGGATACAATGTGATCGAACTCGACGGCATCGGAAGACTTGCTGCAGCCCACCCTCGCTCTGACATGTACGACCCCCTCCTGATCTCGTTCGATTATGGTCAGGCGTTCCCTAGCCTTTCCCAAGAGTACCTGCTGATTCTGATGAAGAAGCTCGGGCTCCCTAGGCCCCTCATGTGGTTTCTCTCGTGGCTGTACCTCGCTATTCAAGGTGTGGTGGCCCATGCTGGCCAACTTATCCCTATATACTGGCTGCGGTCTGGGATTATCCAAGGATGTGGGCTCTCTGGGAGCCTCTACGCCCTCGGCACGGCCCCCTTTCTCCAGGCGCTGGAGGACTCCCTCGAGGCTCCTGGATATGGTATTGCTCGTGCGTGTGCTGATGATATAGGAGCAGTGGTATATGAAGCTAGGCACCTTCAGGTGCTATATGATGTGATGGCGGTTACGGAGTGTCTAACAGGGCTGAAGCTGAAGCCCATGAAGTGCAAAATTGTCCCGCTCAAGGGGGAGTTCACTGAGTCCCTCCATTTCCACACCTTGTCCCTGGTCGAGCGCCTGGTCCCTGCCTGGCACGCCTTCGAAGTGGCCTCCCACGTTCTCTACCTGGGCCTCCTGCTGGGCCCCGCCGTCACTGTCGACATGCAGTGGCTCGCACCGCTACAGAAGCTCAAATTACGGGCTCGTCTACTGGGGTCTGGGGCTGCCCCTGCTAGTATCAACGGCGTCTTGTACTCGTCCAGGGTGTTCTCAGTGGTCTCATATGTGGCCCAATTCGTTCCTCTTCCTCAACGTCTCGCCGCTCTGGAACTGGGGATTCTGGCGCAAGTCTTCAGAGCCCCTCTTGGAATGCTCACCTTAGCTGGATGGGCCCAAATTGGAGAATGGGGAGGCCCTCGTATCCCTCTGCTGCTACACTCGTGCGCCGCTGCCTATGCTCGAGCTGCATTAGTCACGTTTTCTGATCACACTACCATTAACGATCGATTCCGACAGCTGGAATCTGAATGGAGATGTTCCCTCATGGCGGGGCGATATGATGATGCGCCTCTGGCGGCGATTCGGACGCGTGGAGATGCACTCGACCATACTGGCACGCACTGGCGATCCCCTTCCTTCTTGCTCGGATACGCTTCAATTCTCCAGCCAAGCAGGGAGGCAGCGTACACCACCGAGATCAATAACACATGCGTGCAGGCCATCGCCCAGGAGCTCCTGGCCACCGACAGGAAGCCCAAGCCTCAACGTGCTGCCACCCGTGCCCTTCGGGAGTTGCTGGTGACACCCTTCCCACTTGCCTCGCTGGTGCAGAGACGTCTTCTGAAATATGTACATGAATGGGAACCGTTCCTGGATCGTGTGGCCTGGACAGAGATTGGTGGACTTCTACCGCTGGTCCCCATGAGCTGGGCCATGCCTGTTATAAAGACCTATTGCTCTGGATGGCTTACCTCATCGCGCATCAAATATGCTGGAGGCTCCCGCTCATGTATCTTTGGATGCCGAGCTCACGATGATCGACAGTATCATTACATGCGATGCCGCCCGCTCTGGACAGCGGTGTACCAAGCGCTAGGATATGAGATGCTCCCACTCCTCCCTGACCGATTGGGGCTGCGGCTCCCTGACATCAAGCATGTCGAAGCCGTGACAGTTGCCTTCAACATCTACCACAACATGCGCTTTCGTTTGTACGTCACCGCCAATGACCTTCGATCGGGTGCGAGAGCGGCGGTCAGAAATCTAAGATTGGCCAAGCCCGATTCCCAATGGCAAAAGAAATGGCAGCCCCCAGAGGCACTGATTCTCCGCCGCCTTCCTCTACCCACGTCGACCTCATCGACATCATCTAGCGATATCGAGGACGACGAGCTGCTGCCCGACCCCCCTGGAGATCCCCAAGACGGTGATGAACTGGCCGCTGGTAGTCATGGTCTTACATCTGTGGGCAAGACCTCGGACAGCCCGCCCTGCGTCGACACTGATGGAGTACCGAGCTCTGGTCCTGACGTGGTCGAGAATGATTACCGATCACCGTGCCTCACTCCGCAGCTGGTCCCCACGGTCCACACCGATGATGACAGAGTCTCTTCCCCCTCCGCTCCTGGTACACCAGCTACTCTGATTGCGACGCCTACCAGAGAGATACACAGCGACGACATCGACTGCCCCGAACCCTCAGTGCCGAGCAGATGGGGTGCTGACATCGTTAGAACGCCAAGTCCTGGCGCTGGGTGCTCCTCGAGCCCAGGTGTCCAGGCATCTAGAGTAAATTGCGAGGAGTGGCTGCTGCCGTCCCCTGGAGTTGAGGCTGGGAAGGTCAGAACGCAAAGTCCTGGCGACGGGTGCTCCTCGAGCCCGTCGATTCAGGCGTCTAGAGTAAATTGCGAGGTGTGGTCTCTTCCGCCGATGACGATTAGAACGCTCTGTCCTGCGCTGGGGTGCTCCTCGAGCCCTGGGAAGCAGGCTGGATCTACTACCGAGGGGAAGGTCACTGGCTCTGCGCCGTCCCTGATCGTGCGTCGCTCTCGGCAGGGATGCATTCTGGCTACCACTCCTGGACGTGCCGTTGCTCCCATGGCGCCCTGCTCGTCCGTGGCGTCATGTTCCCCGATGACGTTGTCATGGACTCCCTCGCGGTCTCCGAGCACCCTGATGGCCAGCCCGTCGACCCAGAGGCTATCTCCCCCCCCCCGTGGTCCGCGCCAAGGACCCCGCCTTGCCCTGAGCCTTCCCGTCGCTGCCTCTTTTCGACTGCCCCCTTGTCCTCTTTTGCCCCGCACACCCCGCTATGCCCGCCCACGCTCGGCTCTACGCATGCCCATCCGCCCGTTCCGTCTCCCTTGTCCCTTGAGCCCTCCCTGCTGCTGCCCTCTGCCGTCTCCTCTCGCTCCTCTCCCCTGGAGTTAGCTATGTTGCTGGCGTTTCCCCCGTCTCCCACCCCTTCCGTCGCTCCTTTGAGCCTTGCCCCTGCTCCTGCGTGCTCCTCCCCTGCTTCTCTCTCCTCGTGGCATAATCAGCCTTGGTGTTCTAACACCGCAAAGAGCGAGGCAACGACCTCTGGCGCCCGTGCGCCTCTTTCTTAGGGTAGAGCTGAACCCCCCCTGTACGCTGTCCTCCTCCTCATCATCATCATCATCCTCATCCTCATCGTCAACATCATCGTCATCATCATCAGCAGCAGCATCATCAGCATCAGCATCGTCATCAGCATCATTATCACCACCATCAGCATCATCATCAGCATCATCAGCATCCTTCTCTTTATTCTTCCCATCCTCTTCCTCATCCTCCTCCTCCTATTCAGTCGGCGTGAGGGGCCCAGAAGGATTTCCGACTGAACCCACACTCGCGAAAGCACCTTCGATTGGCCCAGGGCCCACAAAACCTTTCCGCGGCGGGGGGGGCCAGGGGAGCGCACCTGCAACCGAACACGCATCAACTAGACGTAAGAGTGACCTTTCGCCGGAGTGACCTTTGATGCGGGCACAGATGGGTCCCCAGATGGCTGAAAACGAAGCAGGAGCAGAGACTTGCGCGCCCAGGTTTGGTCCCCCCGCGGCCCACAAAAAGCCGGGCACCAAAGGTCACTCTTACCCAGGGTCACTCTGGCATGTAGCCGAACACATTCCGCATACTGTACTAGCCGTTTCCCCACTTCCTGATGGCTATGATTATGCCGCCGTCCTATGGATAGTGTGCGCCCTACGATTGCAAAGTCGAGCCGAGGGGAGATTCAGCGAGGAAGACAGAGAGCACGCACGGCAGAAAGTTCGGGTTGCGACATTGAAAATATTACACAGCTTCTCTTTGTCACCCTTGCCAGGGCTGCCACAGCAAGATAAGATCGCTGCAGAGGGCAAGGGCGATGGAAAGAGCGAGCCGCTGGTGGATACTGGCCAGGTGGACCTGGAAGCCGAGGGGGCTGAGAAGTGGGGGGCACTAGGTTGTATTGGTCCAGAGCCGCAGGGCTGCATTGAGGAGAACCCTCATCCAGCCCCCGAACGGCTCTGTACAAGGCGTACAGTTACCATTGATTCTGCTCGGCGGACACAGCAGATGATGAATGGGAGAGGAAACATCGTCAAGCACTTGGTGCTGTTGACGATGTGGGCATTCATACTTGTAGCTGTAGGACTCGATGCGCAACTAAGCGAGGGCAGCAAAACACATCCCGATGTTTCAACACATACAGATAGCCATAGTTTTGGCCAGAATTATGAATGCAGTTCAGTTACAGACGATTCGGCAATCTAAGTTGGAATCTGACGTTTCGGATTTGCACAACAATTTCTTGACGAGCACGGGAAAGCCGCCGACACCGACACGTTTCAAATATTAGCAAAGACCGACAGACGATGGACACAAAGTGAAATTAGTGTTGCCGCACAGCTATTGTTGCTCACGGGAGAATTAGCGACCGAGGAAAAGAATAGAGTTTGGCTCGAATGCACGTCCGCTGTAAAGAGGACGAGCGACCACCAGGAGCGAAAGGAGGAATTATCGACGAGGTATATGACTTGTTGCGCCCTAGGCAATAAACGAACGATGGAAATCATTATTTCAAGCATGGAGTTCCCTTGTGAAGTACAGGATGTATATGGCGCAGATTTAATGTCCATAAACATAGTAGGGGACAGGAGATTGTTGTACAATGAAGCAGGTACCATAATACCTATACGACCACCCTGCGGGTGAGGGGGGAGGGGGAACCAACGTCTCACTCAATCGATAACGCTATCGATCTCACATTCGATCTCATTATCGATATCACTATCGATCTCGCTATCGATTTCACTATCGATCTCACAATCGATCTCACAATCGATCTCACATTTTGTCTCACATTCGGTCTCACTGTCGATCTCACAATCGATCTCACAATCGATCTCACAGTCGATCTCACATTCGGTCTCACATTCGGTCTTACTATCGATCCCACTATCGATCTCACAATCGATCTCACAATCGATCTCACATTCGGTTTCACATTCGGTCTCACTATCGATCTCACAATCGATCTCATTATCGATCTCACAGTCGATCTCACTATCGATATCACAATCGATCTCGCAATCGATCTCACACTCGGTCTCACAGTCGAACTCTCATTCGGTCTCACCTTGTCTTCCTCTTGGTTCCTCGTCGAACTCTCATTCGATCTCACAATCGAACTCTCGCAATCGATTCCACATTCGCTCGACGCGAAAACAGCGCCGGAGCTCCAGGCAATTTTCACTCGGCAGCCCGGTCCAGCAATGACCGAGGATCAACGACCGACGACGACGACGACGACGACGACGACGACGACGACGACGACGAGGAACCAAGAGGGAGAGGACGGGAGGGAGGAGGCGAGGAGAGGAAAGAGCGGAGGGAGACAACGAAGGAGGAAACGGTTCGAGGCGAATCCAGCCGTGGCGACGAGTGGCCGATCTCACAATCGATATCACCATCGACGTCGTCATCATCATCATCATCATCATCATCATAATCGACATCACCATCAACATTGTCATCATCATCATTACCATCGTCATCATCATCAGCATCAGCATCATCATCACGTCATCAGCATCACAATCATCACCATCATGGCCATCATCACCATCATCACCATCAGCACCATCAGCATCGCATAATCGATCTGATTATCGATCTCACAGTCGAACTCCCAATCGATCTCACAATCGACGCCATCATCATCAGCATCGTCATCATCATCATCATCATCACCATCATCACCATCATTACCATCATCACCATCATCACCATCATCATATCACAATCGATCTGACGATCGATATCACAATCGATCTCACTATCGATCTCACAATCGATCTCACATTCGGTCTCATTATCGATATCACAATCGATCTCACAATCGACGTCATCATCATCATCAACAACACCAACATCATCATCATCATCATCATCATCATCATCATCATCATCATCATCATCATCATCATCATCATCATCGCCATCATCACCATCATCATCATCACCATCATCATCGTCATAATCATCCACATCATCATCGGGACACCGACGGGACACCGACGGGACACCAGCGGGACACCGGCGGGACACCGCGCGCCACCGGCCGCCCGGAAGGGAAACATTTGGTCCGGCCGCGCCTCAGCCACAGAAGAACCGACGGGACACCAGCGGGACACCGGCGGGACACCGCGCGCCACCGGCCGCCCGGAAGGGAAACATTTGGTCCGGCCGCGCCTCAGCCACAGGAGACTTTCTCTCGCCCGCCCACGCAGCTTCGCCTCGCCCGCACGCACGGCACGCACGAACACGAAACCGAAATCGATGTCCCGGTAGGGGGGCTCTCCGTTCCACTTCGATCACAACCCTTCACCTCCGATGTCGCTCTCACTCATGGCTGTTGAATTACCTATACGACCACCCTTCGGGTGATAAGGAGGTGAGGGGGGGGGAGGGACCAACGTCGCACTCGATCGATCTCACTATCGAACTCACTACCGATCTCACAATCGATCTCAACCGATGGATCTCACAATCGGTCGGACTATCGATGTCACTATCGGTCTCACAATCGATCTCACATTCGGTCTCGCTATTGATTTCACAATCGATACCACAATCGATCTCACAATCGATCTCACATTCGATCTGACAATCGATCTCACTATCAAACTCACTATCGATCTCATTATTGGTCTCACTATCGGCATCACAATCGATCTCACTATCGGTATCACAATCGATCTCACAATCGATCTCGCATTCGGTATCACTATCGATCTCACTATCGAACGCACTTTCGATATCATTATCGATCTCACATTCGGTCTCACTGTCGATCTCACTATCGATATCACAACCGATCTCACAATCGATCTCACATTCGGTCTCATCATCGATCTCACTATCGAACTCACTATCGATCGCATTATCGATCTCAATCGATCGATCTCACAATCGATCTGACTATCGATCTCACAATCGATCTCACAATAGATCCCACAATCGATCTCACATTCGGTCTCACTATTTGTCTCACTATCGATATCACCATCGATATCACAAACGATCTCCCATTCTGTCTCACAATCGATCTCACTACCGATACCACTATCGATCTCACTATCGATATCACAACCGATCTCACAATCGATCTGACATTCGGTTTCACGTTCGATCTCACAACCGATATCACTATCGATCTCACATTCGACCTCACTATCGATCTCACAATCGATCAGCATCACCATCAACAGCATCATCGGGACACCATCAACACCCTCATCATCATCATCATCATCATCATCATCATCATCAGCACCATCATCATCATCAACATCATCATCATCGGGACACCGACGGGGCACCGACGGGACACGGGCGGGACACCGCGGGCCCCCGGCCGCCCGGAAGGGAAACATTTGGTCCGGCCGCGCCTCAGCCACACGGGACACCAGCGGGACACCGGCGGGACACCGCGGGCCCCCGGCCGCCCGGAAGGGAGACATTTGGTCCGGCCGCGCCTCAGCCACAGGAGACTTTCTCTCGCCCGCCCACGCAGCTTCGCCTCGCCCGCACGGCACGCACGAACACGAAACCGAAATCGATTTCCCGGTAGGGGGGCTCTCCATTCCACTTCGATCTCACCCCCTCACCTCCGATAAAATTTACAATAGTGAGTGAGAAGTTCGACGCGAGTACTTCGCGCGAGCATTTTCCATCGCTTTCAGAAGTTGTTGGGGAGAGGAGGGGGGTGGGTGTTCGTTCGGTCGTCGTGTCAACAGGCCCTTTTCGGGTGGGCATCGCGAAAGCTGACCTCGCGAGCCCTCTTCCCCCCGAATCCTCAAATCTTTAGCACGAGCGCTTCGCCCATCGCAGTCCTTGGCAGGTTTCGGGATCGCGAATTGCGGTTGAGCCGAGGCCCTGTCTAACGCGTCCGTGCGCAAAGAGGCCAGGTGAGCCCGTGCGGCAGCAGCCGCCGCCGGAATTCATCTCCCCAAACGCTCTACCTTACCTTGCCTTGCCTTATCTCCTCCTCCTCCTCCTCCTCCTCCTCTTCCTCCTCTTCCATTCCCTTTCCTTGTGACTAATTCCTCTGCAGCACCCCGAGGCCGGTCGAAAGGGCGGGCCGGGCGTTTTGCTTGAGATTACTCAACAATTGACGATCCTGCAATTTAAAATTGGCAACAGCTTCGCAGATGGAGGGCGGCCGCTTCCAAAATGTGGTTCTCGCCGTAGCGCCGCGCAGACCCGCTTGAAATAGTTATAAGAGGTTCACGGATTGAGGGCCGGCCGTTTTCTAAACGTGGTTATTGCCACAGCGTCGCTCAATCTCGTTTGAAAAATTCAAGATATCCATGTATTTAGGGTGGGTCGTTTTCAAACTGCGGTTTTCGCCTAAGCGCCCCGCGCACTCGTCGTGAAGATTTGCAAGAGCTTCACGGATTAAGGGCGGATATGTTTCAAAATATGGTTCTCGCCCCAGCGCCGCCCACATTCGTCTTAAACAGTTGTAACAGTTCCATTGGTTCCCATGGTCAACGTACCAGAACAGGCGTACTGGATCGATTCAGGTTTGTCAAGGCACAACAGTTACATTAGTCTGCGGCGTTGAACTCCCAGGAATATTGTTTTGGCACGGTTTCAGATCGCCAAGACACAACAGTCAATTTGATTCGTGGCGTTGAAGTCCCGAGAATGGTGTTTGGGTACGCTTCAGGATCTTCAAACGGATGTTTCCCAACGGAGCACATCAATCTGTGAATACCAATGTTAAGTAGAACGGCCTATGAGGATGGAGCACGACAGGAGAATTTATTCCAACATGGTTGATGGATCTTGGATTTCCAGTGGTCCTCCTCCTCTCCCTCCCTTTCCTCCATTTCGTACTCCTCTTCCTCCTCATCCTCCTCCTCCTCTTCCTCCCCCTCCGCGCCATTACTGCCTTCAGCCCTTCTTTCCCCCCTCCCCCCCCCGCCCCTCCCCCGCCTTTCCCCCTTCATCCCTTCCTTCCCCCCAACCCCCTGCCCCCCCCCCCCCCTCCCACGTCGGCCATCCGCCCCCGAGAGGAGAGGAGGAGGAGGAAGAGGAGGAGGAAGAGGAGGAGGAGGAAAAGGACGAGGAGGAGGAGGAGGAGGAGGAGGAGGAAGAGGCCCCCTCTCCCCTCCTTCCCCCCGATTCCTGACCCCCCGACCCCCTTCCCACCCCGCCAATGCCCCGATGCTCCTCGCGGGGGGCGCCGCTCCCGCGCCGCCGCCGAGTTCCCGCGGGGCGGCGCCAGCCCCTGGCGAGGGCGGCGCCGCGCCGCGGGCGCGGTGGCGGGGCCCCCGCCGGGCCCGCGGGCGGCCGGGAGGCGGCGCCGCGCACGGCCGGAAGGGCGGAAGGGCAGCGCGGGCTGAGGGGAGAGTTTTCGTTTTCCTCCTCCTCCTCCTCCTCCTCCTCCTCCTCCTCCTCCTCCTCCTCCTTCCTCCTCCTCCTCCTCTCCCCTCCTCCTCCTCCTCCTCCTCCTCCTCCTCCTCCTCCTCCTCCTCTTCGTCCTCCTCCTCCTCCTCCTCCTTTTCCTCCCCTTGCCATTTTGACTCAAGTAAACCACTGGTGCAGGGCAGCTGGCCAGGACAGCCGCGGGCGCACGTCAGCAGCCCACAACCAGGCTGACGTGCGCTCGCTTCCGCGCACATGACTGTATATCTCGTGCGTGCTCCTTTCTCTGCACCTCGTTTGCGTGGCAAGGTGGTTCACGCCTAGTGATGGGGGTTCCGCTTCTCGCAGCGATCGCGGACCCTCGCAAATGGACCGCCGGTTTCGCCATCGCTTCTCTGATCGCGACCGTGACCGCAGGCGACGCGACCCTGCCTCTGACTCGAGCAGCAGCAGCAGCACAGAGCTTCGCCGTCATCGCGACGCTGATCGTGCTCTTGCTGCTCCGCGTGGTGGCCATCGTGGACCAGGCGCTGAAGGGCCTGCTGCACACCTGTCTGCTGAAGAGCAACAGCGTCTGGCTCAGGCGTATGACATCGCGCCCACCTTTCCCGAGCAAGAAACTCATCGTCGGGAACGCCCTGCTGGCCGCGACCCTCTCCAAGGCGCTGCTGACCCATGGCGTGCTGCTGGCTTTCGGTCCCAGACTATCATCAGCGCCGACAACATCGAGAGCGCGGTCACTGAGGCACTCGCTAAGCATATGGTCGACATCAGGACGGAGATCTATGGCATCACAGGCTCGGCGCACAACGACATGCGGGACACGGTGCTCGGCATCATCAGGCCTCAGGTGGCGCGTTTGGACGCTCATGACGGATAGATGCGTGCGCTTCCAGAACGCATTGATGCTCTTCAGGTTGGCACCGACTCTCCTCGAGCTTGACGTGGGTCGGGTTCGGCAGACACAGGCGCAGGCGCAAGCCGTAGAGGAAGGAGCAGTCGACCTCGCTCGCTTGGCCAAGTACGACAGGCCGCGCCATCCGAGCCTCTTCCGCATCAGCAGCGCCCGGCCCACATCGCAGGAAGAGGTGCAGGCCGCCATATTGCCATAGCTGCAGGACGCCAACGCGGAGCCCACCAGCACCAAGGTACATGGCCAATCGCCAGAGAAGTTTCACTACCTCCAGCTTCCTGTTGATGTTCTTGGCATCGCTCGTGCTGTTCGTCTGGCTCAAGCACCGCAGCCTCCCGGAGGTGCCTGGCGGCGCATCTCTGCCGCCACCGTCGCCGGCGGCAATGACAGCCTCTACATCAACGCGAACAAGAGCCCGAAGCAAGTCAGGAAGGAGATCCACGGGAAACGCCTCGCTGGATTTCTTCAACAAGACTATCCTCAGACCCAGCGGCGACTTCTGCGTGCACGCGGCCTCATCCTCTGCACCCCCGTGGTCGAGATCGCCCCTCAAGGACCCGAAGAGCCCGCCGAGCTGGCCTGGCCCCCCCACCGCGGCCGCGCAGCTGGGCATCGACATTAACGCCGCCACCGCCAGCTTCAGGCAACAGCCGCAGGGCGCGGATACTTCAGCATGGGCGTTATCCTAGCAGGAGGCGGCTGCCATGGGAGGTGGATCTTCATGGCTCCCAGGAGCTCAAGACCACCACCTGGAACGCACGCGGGCCGCGCTGCTGGAGCCACAAGCGCCGCAGGATGAAGTTCGACCAGCTGAAGCGCATGCTCTCCTCTAGGCACATTGCCGCGACTCCGGAGGCCCACGGTGGCAGGCTCACGCTGGAGGCACTCCTCGACCAGACTTACATTCATTTAGACTTATTCCACTCGGGCTTCGAGACCAGCAACGTCAGACACGGGAGGGGGGGGGCGCCCACTCGACGTTTGCACCTCCGTTTTGGACGACGGCCAGACAGAGTTCGATGCCTGCGAGGGCGAGGTCGCCATCATCGCCCCCCTGCACTCGCAGGTGGTTTTGGACTCCGTCGCACCTGGCCACTTGCCCACACGTCAACATACCCCCGTTGCCCCCGGGCGCGCTCAGCACCTGGAGGTCGCCAACCCCATCACCAATAAGCAGATTTGCATCCTCAACGCGCGCAACTTTGAGATGGATCGACCTTCTCGCTCTCGGATTCGCGACCTGTGGACATCTAATCTTTCTCGGGCTCGAGCTGATGAGCTGTCGCGGTTGGCCGCGCGCATCGGAAACTTCAATGTTAGCAACTTCATAAACCAGTCGCTGATCCTCCCTGAACGCCGTCAGGCGCGACTCTCTCGCGAAGGAAGGACGTCACGAGCCGAACCTGTCTGGCGCAACCTGTTCGGCACGGGCATGCTGGAGATCGAGAGCCCGCTGCCCACCCGCTATTCTCGGGCTACAGAGTCGCTCAGCACCATCGATAGGTGCTTCATTCCCCTGGGCTCGCACATCGTTACCGACTGCGACGCCGCGGTGGGCGCGATTCAAGAGGCGCCAAAGCTCTCGGACTGGGGTCACTCTGATCATGCTCAGCTGGTTCTACGGCTGGCTCCGAGACAAGGTACCCGGCGCTGATCTCCGTTCTACCCCGAGCTACATCTTCCGCGAGAGGAGCTTCAAGATCATCCTTCAGAACTGCATCGACTGCGCCAACTTGGACCAGATGGAGATCAACTCGAAATTGATGCGCCTCGCAGAACTGATGCGCGCGGCTGCTGCGATGACACGCGATGAACTACATCAGAGCAATCGACTGCAGAATGCATGACACTTCGCGCCATCGCTCGGGCGGCTTGGCGCCAGGATCATCGCACTGCGCGCCGCTCGACTGGCAGCGTCGACCTGGCGCGCCGTTCCCCGGGCATTTCGCAGCGCGGCATGGTCTACATCACCGAGCATGAGCAGTTCCGCAACTACACTTACGACGCCGACCAGCGGCGCTTCCACCAGATGAACCTCAACGTTGCGCAGGCTACAGGGCGGCGCCCTCGCCCCCCTCTTGGCGACTCCGATACTGGCGGGCCCCCTGACCATGTCAAGCTGCAGAAGACCAGCGCGAGAAGCGCCGGCATGGAATCCTGGCCCGCGTAGACTGGCGCTAAATGTAGCGAAGCACGCGCAGGCGGGAGCGCAGACAGCGGAGCGGGAGCCCGTCGCCATGGCGCAGCACATCAGGGACTATTGGGAGCCGATCTTTGCGGGGGCCACCTCGAGGAACAGGCCATTCAGAAATATTTAGATCAACACCTGGCCGCCGTTCCATTCTCTGACCTCCCTTTCCCGACCCCAGAAGACCTGGCAAGAGCATTGCGCCGCGGACGGGCCTTTTCCCCTGGCCCAGATCGGTCGCCCCACGGGGCTTCGAAAGCGTCGCCAGCAGCTCCCTCCGTTCGGCATGAAGTGTCGTTGCGATTGTGTTCTGGACCAGGGCCTGTCGAAGGTTCGATTCTCTCTAACTTTGCCTTTGCCCCTAAAGGTGGTGACCCCCAAGATCTCACCGATTTCGCGAGGGGCGCTGGCACGCTGCGCCCGCTAGACTTAAATAGTATCGACGGCAAGGCCCTCGCTCAAACCGTCAACATGCATTTAAGTAATGTAGCTCAGCAACATGCACATGTGGTGCAACAGGGCTTTATTAGCGGACGTAACTTTGGGCCCCACTGTTAAAATCTTGACGCCGAAACTCGTCTCAACAGTCATGGGGGTGACGCGCCTTCGCGGCGCCCGTGTTTCATTTCGTTTGATTGTAAAGCCGCTTTCCCAAGCATGTCTCAACAGTGGTTACACGCACTTACGCAAAGGCTCAACACTCCGCGAGGCTACCTCCATGCTGTCCGCGCATTGTCGCAAGACGCCGAGGGGTTTTAGAAGTCGGATCCGAGCGGGCCCGCCTGTTTCCGATCCAGCGGGGCGTTCCCCAGGGCTGCCCGTTGTCCGGAACCTTTTGAGCCTCGGGAAGGGACCCGCCGGTCTGACACCGAGTTTCGGTTTGCGACGATGCGTCTCAGGCCATCCGCCCACCAGAGCTGGCAGCGGGCTCGCGAGAGGCGCGGATCGAGCAAGTCGCCCGCCCCCTCGCCTCCTCTCGCCTGCGTTCCTGGCGCGCGTGCTGACGACGTCGGAGTCTCTCTTCCTGACCTCTCGCTCCTTCTTCGACTGCATCTTCCGTTCGCTGTGGCGGCGACGTTGGCTCGCCTTGACTTTCAGCCGAGGAAGCGTCGTCTGGCCCCGACCTGGGCTTTTTTAAACGACGATGAGACCGAGCTTCTTTGGAGCTCAGTTGCGGCCCTGGCCCCAGAGTGGACTGACTTTTCGATTTGTTCCCTCTGCCGTTATTTAGGCATCCTGATTGGACCAGGGGCTTCGCGGCAGGATCAGTTTCAGACCAGCGCTCAGAAGTGGCAGGCGCGCTGTCGCGCCATCGCTGCCACTCGAGCCCCGACCGACGCTTGTCTCAGGCTGCATCGCATGCTCGTTCTTCCGCGCCTTTTCCTAATTGGCCCAATTCTTCCTCGTTCCTCCTGATGCGGCGAGAAAGGAGCATCGTGCTCTGCACAAGCTCCTCCGCCTTCCCCCCCGCGAGTTCTGCGATGATGGCGTTTTTTTCGCTATGCTGGATGCGCGGGCCAGGACCACTTCAAGCGATGGGGGGTTCGGTTTTGTGGAGAGCGGCGGGGAAAACGCTTCGCAAGCGGGGGCCCGCGCTCCAACGCCAGCGAGACGGAGCACTTCGCTCTGGAGCCTTGCGGCGGGCCGCTGCAGGCCAGCGGCCAGCGGCGCGCAGCGTGCTGGAAAGATGCCCGCAGCGTCGCCCAGCTCTACTCCATCCTCTTTGCCCCCCTCCTCCCCCTCCTCCCCCTCCTCCCCCTCCTCTCCCTCCTCCCCCTCCTCCCCCTCCTCCCCCTCCTCCCCCTCCCCCCCCCCGTCGAGCCTGCTCAACGGCGCGCCGTCAGACCAGGGGGGCGTTCACTCATCGTTTGCCCCTCCTCTCTGCGCGTCACCGGCCCTCTTTCCCCCCCGCCGCGGCCCGTCTCCCACGCTCGCTCCTCCCACGCCGCGGCGCTCGCAGAGATCGAGATCGCTCGTCAGAAGAAGCGGGCTCCGAGGATGCAGACGGTCTTTTCCGCTGCCCTGCGCTCGGTAGCCTATCCTGACTCCATGTCTGCTCTCATCGGTCGCCGGCTCTCCTCCTGGTCTCCCCCCCACCCCCTTCCGAGCTCAACGACCGATGGAAGCGGTTGCGAACTTTCATCGGCATGCGTCCGCCCAGTCACCAGTGGCTCCACAGAAAGACTTTGAGAGTGATTGTGTCAAAATTTTGGCGCTCTCGCTGCAGGCCCGGGCGCACGGCTCCTGACAGCATCGCCCACTACATGCTGCGCCCACGATTGTGGGCGGCGGCCGATCCCGACTTGATCCAATCTCTTCCTCTCCGGCCTATGCTTCGCCTCGGGATGCGGGGGGGGGGGCGGATTCGGAACATTTCTTCGGGATCAGCTTGGCCCGTCTGCATCGGACTCTCATTCTTTCGCATCACGTTCACCGCAAGTTGCGGCCTCAACTCGGGCTGGTGGACAGCGCCCCCGAGCCGCTGATCGCCCGGGCCCGCGGCGCCGCCCTCGCCGCCCTGTGTAAGACAACACGTTCCCCCCATGGCGACGCGTGCCCCTCCTCCTTTTCCTCCTCCTCATCCTCCGCCTTTGTGTCACGTTCGTATTATTCTGAGTCTTAATATTGTCATTGTTATTATTTGTTTCAGTATTGTGTTTACGACCAGCATCATTATCATAAGTGTTAGTATTATTACGGTGATCCGTGTTATTGTGATTCGTCTTGCTTTATTGTCTGGATGGTGAGTAGTATTCGTACTATTAGTAGTATCTGTAGTGTGTTGTATTATTATTGGAATATGTATTATTATTGGTAGCTATATCATTATGTGCCGTATTCTGATTATGTGTATTATTCCTATTGTAAGAATGAGTAGCATTTGCATTATTACATGTAGTTTTATTAGTATTAGCAGTCTCAGTATGATCCTTATTAGCGCCCTCTTCCTCCTCCTCATCCTCATCCTCCTCCTCTTTCGCCTCTTTCTCCCCCCCTCCTCCTTTTTTTTTTCTCCGAGTCGTCTTAGTATTAGTTAGTATGAGCGTTATCAGTATCATTATTGTTATATTGATCACCAGTACTATAATTATTACAAGTATTATTAGTATGCAGTATCGCGGGTATGAGTATGACGTGTCGTGTTGTCATGTCTACGCGTAGTTTTCTTGCTCCTATTATTCGTAAAAATAGCTTGAGTGTTGTGATTATGTTTGTTGTTAGTATTAGCCTTACGACCCATATTGTTACCAATATTATGATACCAGAGACAAACTTGTCAGAGTCTCTGTTGTGTTCACATGAGATATATGTGTAATCGCCCCTTTAGGTCTGTGATGTCTGCGAGGGTTCTGAAGGCTACGAGGG